TTGCCCTGTCAACGACGAAGTAAAAACGGAAGCTGGGCCCTTAACCGCTTAGTGATGTAGAGACTAAGGCCCCCACTTAAAAGCGGAACCGAAGTGCAAGGCGAAAAGTAGCTGTGTTCTTGCTGAAAAAGCCTTAACCCTGACCGTCGCCTCTGTGACGGCAGCCGAGGCCCGACAGTCTCGCCGCAGCTTTCTTGTAAGATACGGGGACCGTCTCTTAGTGCGACGTCACGGCAGCTGAGAAACGCTCAGACGCGACGCGGCCGGCATCCCAGAGCTGCGCGTGTACGCGCTTCCCGCGTCGGGCCTTGGTCTCTTTGCCGGCCGCACGGCCGCAAGCTCCTGATTCGGTGCGATCTGGAGATGAGCGCGGCTATCATGTAGCTCGACAACGTGGTATAGAACCGCCCACACGTGCATGCCGCGGCCGAGCGTCGCCCAGCGCCTCGCGCGTGAGCGAGGCTCCTCCGCGCCCCGCGCCTTCCCAAGTTGGTCTGCTTGCCACGGCCGCGCGGCCGCCCTTTGGCGCGCTTTTGAAAACAGCGCGGCCGGCCTCTGATACTTTGGCATATTCAAGAGCGAAACAACTTTCCTTCCACGCCAAGTGGCCAAGAATGTTTGCTTGGGCGCTTCTTAAACGTTCGCCCAGCCGCTCGTGTCGAGAACTCTGTGAGCTTGTGCGGGCCACCCTTTCGTCGCTTGGACGCCTATACCAAAATTGAAAACTTCATGGAACCCCGACCACGCGCTTGGGCTTTCAATGTCAGGACTCCCGCCCTGTGACGTCAGCTCGGAGGAGCTCTTTGCCGGGCGTTTCGTGCGCGCGCTCTTGCTCGCGCTAGTACTCGCGCTCGACGCGCGCAGGAATCCGAACTCGCTTTGGCTCTGCCAGTTAAGAAGGCACCGCTAGACACGGGGGCCTGACGTGAACCGGCTCACATCTTACCCAGACAACTCTCAATAGATAGCAAAAATTACTTGCATTCTACGTTATGGCAAGGATGACCGCGATTACGTACCTGGCCGTGTTGGATTCTCGCGGCCAGGGTTCATCTGGTTCCGTCGTGTTGATGCCAAGCCAAGCTCGCATTTTTTGGAAGGGGCGAAGGACGATACGTGCATCAAAGTGGCAGTAATTTGCACTGGCCACACAGCAACTTAAGATACTCTCCAACAGGTGGAGCTTTTTCATGTCTTCGCGCCTTGATCGACTGCTGCAGCAGTTTTCCAGACCGGCCAAGAAACCTGGCTGCTTCGAATCGAATGAAACCCGCAGAGATTCGTTAGTCGTCGTCCTTTCCTCGCGCCTCCAGAGTTGGTCGCTTTTGAGCCGGCTCCGGCGCGCGTGGCTTTCCTCTGCTCGCACCGGCGCCGCGCGTGGATGAGCTCGGTCCATTAAGATTCTGCCGCACACGAAATCTCTGCCGCGTGCGGCCGTTGACAGTTTTAAGATCACCGGGTGGTGTCGAGCCCGGCTGTGGGCGTTGGTTTGTGTTGCCTGTACGAGCGCGGCCGCAAATAATCTTGGGGTCGATTTTCCGCTTACCTTTTACGGGCGGGCGATCTGTTTATCCCCGCCTTCTTCAGAGCAGCTAGTATCCGGGCAACCCACAGCTGGCAAGCTGCAAGAACGAAACAATCGGGTCTGAATTCTTGGTGAGGGTTTTCGCAAACGGGGCTTACCCTTGGGGGCTGGATCGCTGGCGCCCAACTGATGATGACGTGCCCCCAGCACAACGAGAGTCTTATAAGCCCTTCCCGGCCAAACATTTTTGGGACTGCTTCTGTCACGCTGCCCTTTGCAGAGCGTTCGCCACAGAGGCTTCCGTTGTGGACCACTAAAACGTTTCTGTGCACACCACAGCCACAGACTTTAGGGATGACCATCATCGATCCCCCGTCTGCTGAATTCGTAAGGTTTCGACAGCGCTGGCTTCAAGGCTACAAATGCAAAGTGCTGACGCCAGCACAGTTACAAGGCCCTGGCGAACATCTCCTTACCAGGACAAGGTACTCACGGCACTTGCATCAAATGAGCCCAGCAACGCTGACACGTTATCGGTTACCCGCAAGTTGCATTCGAACCATTGAATGGAGTTGGACTTGCAGAATGGCAGCTTAGAATTGCAGGGCGCAAGGTTTCTTGAAAGTGGGAAACAGGGATTCTATGGGTCGTCTTGAAGTCAAAAATGGAGCTACAATAGCCCACTGGTTTGCCCATGCAACCTTCAAGGCCCCCCAGGTCCTTTGAGGGAAGATCCTGTTCTAAGCCGCCTCAAAATCTTGCTAACAGTCATGAACTAAGGCACGAGGTCCTATGATGTTCTAATTCACCCCCCCGTCTTTTTCGCTTCTTCGATCTACTGAGTATGCGACATGTGTCGCGCACTTTCTGCTGCCACTTAGAAAGTTACCTACACGCGGGATCCACGTCGAACCCATGCAAACACGTGTGCCTTGCGCCTTGAGGGTGGCGTTAAAATGGCGAAGCGCCTTGCAACTCACTCGGCGCTCTGTTTTGGCTACGTAATCATGCAGCTAAGAGCGCAGCGCAGGTCCTTTTCGTCGAATTTCCGATTGTGAGTGCTTACTAGGTCAAAGGAAGTCCTCTTTTGTTTCTATCGACCTGATGGCTATGAATCGAGGCTACCTGGCCGCCCGTCGAGCGGGTCAGCGGAGCCGGAACTCCTGATCTGATGCCGTCCTTCCCCACCCCTCGTTTGTATCACGTGAAACAGGAATCCTTTCTCGCATCCGTAGCGGTGTCTAGTTACGGGATTTCTGATTTCAGCAAACCAGCCTCACACCGGGGCCTATCTCCGCGTCGTCAGCCACTTTGCCGAGCGGAATGCTCCAGTTGGGCCCCCGGTTCGGCTCCGGTTCGGAGCCAAGGCGCCCGGTGAATGATTCGGTCCTGACGCTTGCAGACCACTTTGACCTACGTTTAGGTCCTGCTGCTCTGGGCTTGATTCAAATCTTTTTCATGGTACGTGTTGTCAATGACCCGTTTCCAGAAACTTGGTAACGAGGAAGCAGAATGCATCAGGGCGGTGGTCGCAGTCGTACCCTCTTATAGTGTCTCTCTCTTCTCTGAACATCTGCTCCTGCGGATCCGCCGGAGAAGCTTGACCAGCGTATTGAATCGATTGATTTGAGCTTTCGGGATTTCAAAGATCAGACTGGCGCCTGCATTCTACATCCTAACCATTCTTTCTCCACTTTGATCCTGTGGCTATGAGGAAGGATGTGCGGCCCATGTGGCAAACACCAACCGTCTGTTCTGCTTACACCTTCTGACTGCCCGCTCTATTCTCTCATGCAATTCTTGCGTTTGTCGAGCCAAGGGAGCATTTGGGCCGTCCCAAATTTGGCACTTTGGCTATTTGCGAGCGAGCTCCGTTTGGGGTTTGCTGGTGCATATTTCTTTGTTCTACTTCTCAGCAATGAGGAAGCCAACAATCCGGCCCTATTCGACACGAGGTATTAAGAGTGTTGGTGCAAGGCGATGTCGAAGCCGCAAAATAATTATAAATCAGATGTCTTCGAGGCGACCCAGCTGACGCCCCAGTCAAACAATATTGTGGTCTCTATTTCTCCAGCTGCTCCACTTAAGGCGCAATAAGAATCTGGATACTTATACGAAGCCAGTCTTTTGGGTGCCTATGGATGTCGAATTCAGAAACGTGCCACGTGGCACCCAGTGCCCATGCCCCGGCAAGTCGGGTCCCTGCACAAGACCTGCACTAAGACCTGTAATGCGCCATCTGTTTTGAGAGCATCCTTGGAGCCGGCTTTCGACAACGTTGTGACTGATCCTCAAGACTTGTAACGTTTTGCAGCCGCACAATGTTACGATGAAGCTGCTTCGAAAACTACTTCGTGACCCGCGAATTTCCTTTTCGTGAAAGAGTGACTATCAAGCCAAGAGCCCTGTCAATGTGGACCCGGCGCTTCTATCTAACTTGGTCGCGAGCTCAGTCCTTCTGAGCTTCTCGATGACTGCATAGTTCTGCGAGATAGCGTAACCAGTCTTTGAAACGTAACTATGTCCTGGCAACATGTAGGGCCCGAATCTGTCTGAACGGACTTTGCAGACCGGCGTTTACAGATCACGGTGATCAACGGGCCGGGGCTTCGAGATTTTGGCATACCGCCCAGACCCTGCTTAGCGCATATGGTCGAGCAGGTTTGTTCAAAACTTGTAGCTCCACTCCAAATATTCACAGACGTCGTAATTCATTTCACAGTAAAGACGTAGCAAGGGAAGGGGATCACAGTGGTCATGCGACATCCAATGACAAGTTAGTATCATTAGATTTGTATCAGCTCCACGCGCAGGTTCTGGCGGGACGGGACGCAGATCTTATCTGATGAGAATCAGTGGCTTGCATGGCTCCATTGATGAGTCCGCGGGGACAACGCACGAAGCACCGACACATGCAGATACTATAAATTGGATCGTAGCAAAAACAGCAACATCTAGAAGTGAATGATAACTGCCTGAATTTGACGGTTCATGCATGCATGCAAAACACCAATTCCGGCTCGCGTCGTACGTCCAACCTTTTGTACTAGGAACCAACGCGTACTGCACAAATCATGTCATGTAGAAAACATGCATGTGGTATAGTAAAATATAAGGCTCACCGAACTGCATGTCAAAATGGAACTTAGACTTAGCCGCGGGGAGCATATGTGCACCCGCCGGCTTTTCTCACCAGTCGATCGTCATTTTTGTTATATGCAGTGTTGTGCCATAACACGGATGCCAAGACGCGTAACTTCTTCGATCTCGGTATACTCAATGTTCTGTAAAATAATCATTGAATTGTTATGCGCCGACAACATGCACTGCAACGTGAACCCGATGGTAGCGACACGAGTCATGATCGAAGCGTGGTGGCTTCGATTTGTCATTGAACCGATTAACATCGGATATCCTCAAATACAATGGTGTTTGCTTTGGCAGCCATACGTGGGCTCAGCTACAGATATTGCTCCCGAAGGACCTCCGAAGACTCAAAGTGTCAAGGTCCAGCTGAGCGCTACATACGGTGTATCTATACTTCCCTGGATCTAACTTGCGGACAATGCTCCAGTCAGCTTCTCTGCGAGCTTGTAATAAGCGTACTTCACATCAAACTCCATATCGTACCAAAAGTTGATTGCTATCGTCCTCCCCTGCTCGTCCGGTTTCTGCTTCACATGGTGATAGTACATGGACGGCAGGTACAACAGCTCCCCGGCTTTTACGACACACCGCAGCGGTGGCGGGCCCTGGTCGTACAACGGGAACCGGTCACTTGTCCCGGGGTCATCGGGATCAACGCTGACCCAAGGAACCGTGCTTGGGAGGTCGTCCCCGTAGTCGATCCTAAGCGTCGTGTCCTGTACGCAAATGAGCGCCGCATTCTCGTCAGCCATTTTCCGCGTAATGCTTTTCTGCCCGATTTCTTTTTGGAAGACCTCTTCGTTTTTGGGGGGCCTGACAATGGCAAGCCGGTGACAGTGGAAGAAGGGAAGCATTTACTCACTTTAGCCCAAACGCGTAGGCTTCGTCTCAATTTTTCGACTTGAATTAGTCCTGTGCTAGAGATGGAAACCATGCCTTCACTGCCGTTGGATACGGTCAGAGTGTAGATGAGGCTCGTTGAGACGGGCGCGCCTCAAGGAAAACGACCTAGTGCATCTTCAAACTGACCGACGAAACTGATGTCCACGAACAATGTCTCTTTCGCAGTTCTTCCTTGAGTCTTAGGCAAGAATTGCGACTGACAGAACTTCAGCACGAAGATCTTTAGTGCGTCTCTAACCGCAGCCAATCTTTGTACGAGCCTGAGATTTGAACTCAAGCCTTCAAAGATTTTGAGCCGGCGTTTGAGCGACTAAGGACCTCGCTTACCTAAGACTTCAACTTCAGGATCACGAAAAACCTGCCCACTTTTGATCCTCACCTCGTCTCGGACGTACGACGCCTTGGGGTAGTCCCGGACGTACATCCGGTAGACGTCCGCAGGCGGATGGAGGGTGAAGTGCTTCTCGCCCGCAATCACTGCATACTGAAACGCGCGTTTCGGTCCTCGCAGTCACGACCATTGCAACGAGCGCCAGAAAATCTACGTTTTAAATTCCGCAGTAATTTCGAATGAACAAAAGAACCTCCCATCTTTGCGAATGGCTGGAGGGTGAACTGTACAGAAAGAATTTCAGCGTGGGGCGTCCTAGCCGGAGACACACGCAAACAACCTTTGAGGGTCAGCCCTTCGATAAGAAGTCATTCTCATGGCCTACGCGGAGCTGGAACTCTCAATCAATCAGATAGGGAAGAGCGAAGACAGAAATAGAGACTGTCAGCAGTGCACGAGTGAGACCTGCCCAAATCCCAAATGCACAGGGCCTCGACTCGATTCGATTCCGCGAATCATCTTGTACTGGTCTTCCTCTCTTTTCCTATTTCGTGTAAGGAATGCGGCGGCCGCTCACCAGATTCTCGTAATGGTCTTTGTGGAATGACGTCACAGCCCGGTCGTCACCGATCCACAAGTTTACGGCGTCGGGCCCGTGACCTGAGCACAGGACCAACCGACTTACTCAGCGCATTTAAGAACGGGGAACCTACACGAAAGTTCAGGACGACAGAAGTTAAGGTGCCCTGTTACTTTGTCCGTAGGGTCGTCTTAGCAAGTAATCTTGTTAACAGTGATCAAACCCGTGTACGGACTCCCTCATTAACTCTAATTGCTTAACGAGGTAACGGACTCCTCAGAGTTCACGCTCCCAGATATGGACAACCAAACGACATACAAGGGACAAATTTTCAGGATTCCAAGTCATGGAAACCAACCCGGAGACAGCACTCCCGAGCGGCGGCAAAAGTAGCCACTCCACGTGCATAGCAAGGCCCGAGAGGCATGTCGACCATTGGATTGCTGTGATCGATTTGTTCCTTGGCATGTCTACCGAGCTGTGGAACAAGGCTGACATCAACCGCAAAGGGGCAGAGGAGAGGGGCGCGTTTCGGGGGAGGATCAGTCGGGAGAGACGAACGAGACGAGAGCTAAGGACAGCTCAGAGTGACCGAGTGGGGCGCCAGACCGCCTGCAGCTCCAGTCGTCTAAATACGGTCCAACAGCCAAAGCAAAACGGCTTGCAAGGAGATTCCTTGCAGGCTGCTTATTGCCCAACAACCGAAGCTTCCATCAAGCTTAAAGCCAAAGAAGACGAACTATCTCGTCAACACAAGGATTGAGGCAACTTGACTCTCTAAGAGATCCATCCCGTGACATGGCTCCTCACCGAACGCTTTCGTCGCCCATGAGATCTCCACGTCAGCGTCGTCCGCCAGAGGCCCATACTCCGTCACAAAGCTCCCGTTCTGGTGGGAAGCGTACGGGACTCTTCCGGCTTCTCCCTTTTCCGAGCACAGCTCTTCCAGGAAGGACGAGAAGGGGACGCGCTCTTCCAGGGGGGTCACGAAGCAGGGCTTGCCGTCAGGGCCGCTGACTATGGCGTCCCCGCGGCCATCGGGCGTTACTGAAGGCGTGGGAGAATGTGTTTTGAGGGCTGGACTGGAAATCCAGACATTTGGGGTCTGCATGAAGCTCTAGGAGCTTCTAGAATCTTCCTCGGAAGGCCCTGACACTGTTCCGCATCAGTCTTCTCAAGAGCTTTTGCAGAAAGTAAACTCGTCAACTACCAGGATACAAGCACCAGCCTCTTCATTTGCAGATAAAGATGCGTTCGCTTGCTGTCAAGAAGCCCTTCTGCTGGAGCCAAACTCTATCTTCTATAGGGCCAGAATATGATGCGTCGAAAGCGAACCTTGTCCTGTTGCACAACCATTCAATTGACACGTGTCTGCCCTGTAGTGGCATCTCTATCTGTGCGGAGGATCAAGCTACTTTCAAAGAACTTGACGCGGTCTCCAGCTCTTCTCAGACCCCCAAGAACCTCCCAATCAAAAGGAAGGATATCATCCTGCCAAGTAGCAGGTCTTGATTGCTCTCTTGTGATGACACCAGGAAACAAGCGCCTTAAGGTCTTTCCAAAGAAATCCTGAAATGGTGCCCCCTCAGAAGATGTCTACTACATGAGACATGAAAGACTGGCTGCAAGGTAAAGGGTGCAAATGTTCACCCCCCTCACCGTCTATTGTGACGAGTTGGTCTCCCATCTTTTCAAGCAGGTACTCATTTGTCCATCGGCGTATGCAGGGCCAGTGACTAATAGCATCTGCACACGGCGCTTAAAACAGTCTGTTGCATGCTGAGCTATCGAAAATTATGCAAGTCAGAAGGACGAAGACTGATGTCCAGAACTCTTCAGGTAGCTCAGGAGATGAGGAGCACCCTGGAAGAGCGACCGTGGGCAAGGCATGCTTGTTAGACCTTCCAGGTGACCTACCATTCTTATTTGAGATTCTATGCTGATTGATACAGTCCGTTGGCTCATGGAACTAACAGACTGTCATCGATGACACTAGAGTATCTGTTTGTGGGAGCTGTGCATCTGCATCTTCAGTTCAGCTCTTGAGCAGGATATCCGTGGTACTCCTGCTTCTTGTCACCAGAGAGACACTATGCTATGCCTGAGCACAAGTCAGAGACCGGACGACTTAAGCCCCTCCTCCACAGCGAGCTGTGTGCCACGGCTTGAGCACCTCAATCACTTGTTAACCAACTATTAAACACAGGGCGCAGTGAGGAAGAAGAACAAGCAGGGAAAGCGTTGTAGGAATGGAAGAGCACTGTATTCCGGTGGGGCTGTAGGCGGACATGTGGAACTTTCTTTTTGAATGCTGTAGAAACAGGCATCAACCTGAGTGACCAGCACCTGACTCTTCTGAAGTTGTAGTATCCCAAGATCCTGAAAGACAAACTTGAGCACTGAAGTTGGGGGCGTACTCGTGAATATGCAGGGCACGTTCCGGGAGACATAGTTGCGGTAGAACACGAGCGGGTCCGGAGCACCATGCACCCTGTCCACTTCGAACGCCACCGACAAATCTCGGACCTCTTGCGACAGCTCGCAGAGAGCATCTTGGACCGCAGCCTCCATTTCGACATTCTAGAGTGCTTGAGCTACCCTTCAATGTGGTCCATCCACTGTCAGCAAGTCAGAGAACTTTGCACATAGCTACTTGCCTGGCACCGCAGTTTTGTGATAAGCGTTGTAACTTATGAGGCCCATTCCTGAGACATTAAGTACAGGCAATCTTAGATTGATCTAAAAAGCTAGCTGCATCTGTCCTCTAGAGGCTGCATTCTCACCGCCTCTCACGGCCCAGCTTCTCGGGCAGGACGCAAAGAAGGCTCTTTGGCTGCATTACCACTTCGCGAGTGCTGCCTCAACAGATAAAAAATCTGCGTTACAAGTATTTCCTTCTTTAGAAAGGCCACCGAATATTGTCAGAGCACTATCAAACAGCGCGCCGCCATGATCTGTCTCAGTAAGGGCCAATCTGACTCCATATGGCCCCCTCTTTGGAGCCAGGAGCAGCTGATTAACGCAGGCCCTCCCAATACATGAATCAACGTGGAATTGCGTCCCCACTCTCCCATGCGCATGCGGGATTTCGTTGCATGACAATGAAAGAATGGACATGTTTTCTTCCTTGGTGAAGCGTCATGTACATCATGCATGTTTCTGAATCTCTCCGGTTACTTTTAGCCTTTAGGGTTTGAGCATTTTGGGGGAGTTCTCTAGTTTTGAGAACTCCCCCAATGGCCTGCCAGAAGCTGAAGCCTTATAACCTCTTTCACTCTCGAGCAGACAATACATGCAACCTTTCAAAGTCTGGCGGACATCACGATTTGTGACGTTGTGGAGGAAAGATGGCGGTTGAGGACGCGGCAGAGCCTGCAGAAGGAGTTGAGCAGCTTGCTACAGACATTGCTGCTCTAACTACATTGGAGACCCAGGAAACACATGCGGAGATGCAAAGCGAAACAGAGGTTGCGGATTTTGGCATTTATTCAGGAATACAAGACTTTGTGGACCATCATTCAGCATCTGTAAGTTCTGCTGCTTGTTTCTTTTCCTTGTGTCTTGTGTTTGATTTGTGTCTGTTGTTCTGATCTCAAAAAAGGTCCTCATTCAACCTAATTCAAAGCTCTCCGGGTAGCTTCGAAGCAAACCATGCAACACTGCCCAACTCCGCTCCTCAAATGATGCCGCTTTGGAGACAGATGCCGCTTCGGAGACAGGTTCTGCAATTGGCAAGACAAGATGCTAATCTTCCTAGTAGTCTGACAACAACAATCCTACCGAGTACACGGGCTTGGACCAAGCAAAGTCACAGTTGTCTTCTGCTAGAGCCACAAGCACATTAGGTTCGCTGCAACTGCAATCCATACTCTCTGTAGCCCAGCAGAGCCATGTTGCAACAATTTGATTGTCCATTGCTGTCCAATGTTGAGGGTGAGGCTTCCTGATAGAATACTTTGCTGTGCTTCTTGGCAGATCTGTTATTTTGACTGGTTGTAGCATTGACACAGCCTGGGAACATCCATCTTCCTCGGACCTAGAACATGTCTGCGCCAATCACGCCCACCAGAACCAGAAAATCTGTCTGCCTTGTTTGTAGACCAGTGGATCGCTGGAGCCTGTAGGTCACACCTCCGCTTGATTGACGATGTCCGGGCTACCCTGATGCAGAATTCATAGCTCATAATGTGCACGTTAAACTGTAGTTGTTCCATATTGTTGACTTGGAAGCTACTCACTGAGGGGATAGCCCTTTCAGCAGACATACCTGTAGTGGAACCTGAATCACTCTGCAGGGCAAGGCCTCTTAGGCCCCAATCATTCTGGCCGAAATAATGGGGAAAGGACCAGAAATGGACAAGTTGCGATCCGTATCATTGACTTTCCCTAGTTTCGAACGCGGTTCTTAAGTAAGTCTCGCTCTTCCCATGTTCACTGACTGGCACAGCCCAATCTTGTAAGCCACGGTTCACATTCACCATTTTGCGGCTCCCTGCAGGGTGTGCTTAACCGTGATGAGTTCGCCAATATTTTGACGCTGGATGATGACAGTAGCTTCATGGCTGAGCTGGTGCCAATCTTCACCACAGACATGGAGGCATTTTTCACAAGAGCTGCAGCTTGGGTAGAACAGCTGCCAGAGATACCGTGAGTTCTCTCTTCAATATAACTTGATCCGGAAACAAGGGCTTCCAGAGAAGGGCCCTACAGCAGGTTTGGGGCCCCCATAGTCCAATCATTCTTGAGCGACACTTAAGATATACTACTAAGAAGAATACTACACCTGCAACGCTGGCAGACGTGAACTTTCCCGATTTGTCAATCTGCATGATATGAAATTTTAAGTGTTCAAACCAACAACCGAAATGGGTTTCTTTTCTCGACCCCTTGTCGCTGCTTGAACTCGAATTGGTACAGGCCTTGGGAACGGTCTCCCTTTGAATCAAGTTTCCCTTTCTCCCAAGTTGAATCAAGCCGGTTGCTTCATAGGGCACTCCCCGTAGTATGTCTCGTTGGTTGCACGTAACACAGCGCACACTGATGCTCACCAAAGAGGGATGCTTCCTGCAGGCTTGTCGAGCCCACAGGCACACCACTGTTTAGCGTTGCCTGGACACTCTGGTTGTTTATGAGAATCAAATGTTTGAGGAGTGGCTTTGAAGAAATTTCCTTTAGAAAAGGAGGGAGCAGTGTTGCACAAGTATTCAAAGGTGCATGTGTCTCAGCCGTTCAACGGTGATTGCATTTGAGACCGCTTGTTTGTTACTTGAGAGAGAGTCTCCAGCAACCGTTTGAATCTTTGGCCCTCTAGCCGTTGCACCAAGTTCAGCTCCTCCAGGGTACTTCGAAACTGAGCAGAAGTCCTTGCTTGTGTAATGCACAATCGAGTATCCTTTGGATCAGGCTAGCTAACCTACCGTCATCTGCCTGCAGCGTGCCAATATCTGTAACTTCTGCGCCTTGTTACAGTTCCGTCATGGACTTACAAGTCCATGACGGAACGGAACATAGTCCATTCGGGCGGCTTCTTTTGACACAGTGTATGGCGCACGATCCTGTAGGGCCCTCACATTGGCTGATGATTGTTGTAGGGAGCACGAACGCAACAGCGGGCTTCCAAGCGAAATTAGGAGGGTTTACGACAACTTCAACGTGAGACTAGCGGCCTGTACATCAGCGTACACGTAAGATATTCCCTTTTCTCAAGGATTCAAGTAATCCTAGTGCATGTATATCACACTCCAAAAGCATTATCGAAAGCAGAGCAGAAAGAGGAGATTGAAGGGAGAAAACGTCGACCTCCGGCTATCAAAGTCGAAGGCAGGGCACTCCATTGGCGTGCCAATCTCGCTTTAATTCAAAGAAGTCCATGTCGATCTGTTTTCTTTAGCACAGCACAGTTGCTTCTTGAACAGAAGACGATGCTGTTTACAAATGTAACATCCATGTCAGGGTCTGCTTGTAGACGAGCAAACTTGCTATCAGACGATTTCTGCTCGCTCGCCTTCATTCGGTCTATGCTCGAAAGGCCCTTAAGTTCCTGCCAAAGTCCGGCGTCGCACTTCAAACAACGCGAGTCGAATGCATGAGGAAGTACTTGCTTAAATTCGCGCAATCTTCCTGCTGTCAGACGAACTTGCCAGATTGTGCTTGCAGTATGGGCGCCTTGCGGCTGAAGGATGCTCTGTGGGAGCTTCGAAACCGGAAGCATGCTTATGATGCGCAAGGGCGAGCCTGCTGCAAATCCCATGTCCTCGTCTCGCACTTTGATTGAGCCTAAGGGCTTCTGTAACTTGACGCAAAGATGGAAGAATCACACTAATCATGCCACCTTGGAACGGATTGTCCAAGACTTGCTTTTGGAAGGCGGATAGTTTGCCAATTCAGCTGAGTGGTGCTGTGGATCATCGCTGTGGTGACTGTAGATGACCCTTCTGATTGCACGGTGTAGAACATACTTCACCTCTGCGAGCAGCGTGTCTCTCCGTAACATTGCGAGCTGGAAGGAAGGAACGAGGTGGTTCCCTCCTTGAAGTATCACTCTGTGGTCGTATTGTGTGGTTTGGTTTATGGAAAAGAAGGTGGTCGACATCACTTGGAGCTTGCAGCAATTGCAACATTTCATTCGGAAGTAGAGCAAGGGGATCGCTGCTTAAAGCCAAGCTCCTTCATGCCGTTTCTTCCGGCTCAATGTTTGCACACAGTGTGCTTCGAACGTGAACTTTATATTCAACTCTCGTTGGCAGGTATATAAGATTCTCATTCCGCATCGTGCAGATGCAAGGAAGCACTTCGTGTTGCCGAGTTGGCCTATCCAGAATTTAAAGGAGTTTTGGAAGACTTTCTCGAGGTGCGTCAGGACGAGATTGCATGCGGGTGGTTTCTGACCTTCTTTTGGTAACTTGCTGGTTGCAACTCGGGACTTCGTCTTGCAGTGCTTGCTTGTCAATCGTAGCAGCTCACATGACACCGTGACATCAGAAGTTCCAGTTGTGGGACACTCTTAAGGGGCGCATGTGTTCAAATTCTGTTTAAACAGGCAGACAAGCTGAAAGCAGACCTGTGGGTTAACACTGTCTAATGGCCCTTGAGCTCCAAGTGGTCTAGTGAGTTACTTCCTCCGCTTGAGCACTCTCTTAACGGCAGAAGTCCGGTAGACTTTACACCGGTATGTGGTCATTTGTGCAGTTACATTGCCTACCGCATGGCAGACGGACGATCTTTGTCCAGCTAATGACTCTATTTGTGCGAGGTCGCCTGTATGCAAGCTCCGCCGGCCAATCAGCCTTCCACGGGTCCTGAACCTCAGAGAGGTAAGTCTTGACAAGGACGGCTTTCTCGGGTACGGCTTTTCGAGGAAGTGCCCGGTTGAGAGATGCACCTTTCCGCTTTGCTTCTACTTTAGGTACTGAGGCTCAAAGGAGCCCTGTACGGTACGGATACCAAGAGGATTGTAAAACTCGCTTCTCTGAAAGAGCTCGAGCTTCTTCTGGACGGATCAGTCTCAAATGCTAGATCGTCAAGGCCATCACGGCTCAGGCGATTGGTGGTTTGCTGCTTGAATTCTCTGCACATGTAGATGGTATCCTTATCGTCTTGCGTACTGGTCACGTCATGTGCATTAATTCCCTGGCCCGATCTGGTGCAAATTTTCTTGCATATTTGATTGAAAAGGCCGTAAAGAAGTTGTTTGTTTGTCACAGTCTTTGACCCAAGAACTTCAGCTCAAAACGCTTTGAATCATGGGTCGTGGTTGGATGGCGCCATTGTGATTGTGTGTCTATTCCTTTTCTAGCTTTGATCAGCCCTTGTCTGGAGTAAGGTCAGCTAGTTCAAAAGTCCGATTGCGAGGGGTGATGTTTGATGGAAAAGTATTTTACTTGTTGCAGACTCACGCAATAAGGGTAGAACCAATATCGTAAAATGGCCGCATAAAATGTCAACCGCCAACAATGAAACCTGAGCAAAAACTGTTGACTTTACATCACTCTCCGCTTCTGAGTACGAGAGCGTTGTGGCAACATGCTGTAGAGATCGACGTTTGGAGAGCTTGACGCTCCAGTAAACTGTGTAGAAAGTGCGGTTTGTGTCGTCGAGGTCCGGTATTGGCAGGCGGGGCTGCTTAGGAAGCGCCAGGCAATCTAAGCCATGCAGGTTGCAAGAAGATTAGGGGGCGGTCATTAAATAGATTAATATGATATTAAGAAGTAGTTGTGAGGATGTACCTTATGAACAACCGAATCGCTCGCGGGCAGCGGCACGTCATGACGCGATCAATGCTGATTGTCCAGATTGTAAAGACCACATTGATAACTCTGTCGATAAGGTACCTTATTTCACCGGATGCAAGTTTGCATGTTGCGCTCCATTCTTGGCACTTCCAGAACGTTGGAAAAGTTTAACTGCTTATTCGGGAGGTTGCTCCGCCTGTAAAACATGTCCAGATTCAATTTGACCCTACGAGAATTCTAAACTGAAGACAGGCTGATTCGGGCGGCCTCAATTAGTGTAAGTGTCTATATGGTCGATCCTATATAGTATTAATTGAGTCTCTATATGACATATGATTAAGCTCGCCTCTTCACACCGTATCCTTCACCTACTAAGCCTATATTATTGTAACAAATTTTCCTTGGCACGTTCAAATTGTATGATGGGATTATAGACGTATACGTACTGACGGATAAAACGGGCGTACCATGCTGCCGCGCGCGTGCCACCGCAGCTGATCATTTGCTTGTTAGGTTTGAGGTGCAACGCGGCCGCTGGGGCCTCAGCGCATGATCGAACGGTTCATAGATCCGATCGTACATCGCATGAGCTTCTGTGAAGAAAATCAGTGACGGTCGTCGGAAGATCAAGCGCATTATATTATCCATGTACATATATCTCCTACGTGTTCGTGCATGTCGACGTACTCAGATATATTTCGGCCGGCCATGATAAAGCATGATGAAGCCCGGCCTGCGATCCGATCACGTTGATGATCACTGATGCAGGTTGCCGCCCCACTGACAGGCTATACTAGCTGTAATTGCAGTCATAACACCGTGACGTGTGGAGACTTCACATGAGAATTAAGAAACTTGGGCCATGCACCACGGGCTTGCACGGTGCATGGCAGTCATAACTTCATACATTTCATTCTAAAGGTTCACAATAGTCGATAATATAAGCACTACATATAAACTCGAAACGTAGCTAAGTGTCAAAAATGGGCGAACCTATGCGTAGGGTGTCAACCAGCGCCAACTTTCAGAGCCAACCATCATACTTTCCAGTTCGGGTGCACGACCCAAGGTAAACCTTATAGTTTGGCCACTGCTCCGTTTGGGACCGAATAAAGGTTTGCTTATGGTCGGCGGAACACTCCAATCGCTCCATCTCACATTCAATTGATCCGCACGAAACTGGCTCTTATAGGTGCCCCGTGGTCAGCAATCGCACAACAGATGCTCAAAGTGGGCGTTGGATGTCAAAGCTCGGGAAATGGATATCAGTGAGTATGAGATTCTCGTGACGAATGAGATTGAAAGTACAGCGGATCTGGGCTCTCTGCACCGTAGATTGCCTGAAGTGGACATCATCCTGTCTTCCGCCCATTTTGACAATAGCAAACTATCAAAAGCAACCGTGTTCATGAAAGAACCTCCCCAACAAGGCCTTTGATGGCTTCTCCAATTTCTACGGACGCCGTTTGCTTGTCGCTCACGGCCTCAAAAACGAGAGCCGAAGCAGGAATGGTTTCTAGGGCTTGAACACAAATAGCTGCGGCGTCCTCTCGGCTAATTGTACCCCTTAAGATGTCGCCCTACACGAAAGATAGGGTCGAATCATTCAATTCGTGAGCGGGCAAAACCACATTGCACTGCCTAAAGCAGCGGGATTTGCCAAGGATCTCTTCGCTTCCTTTGCCAAGTATCTCTTCGGTTCCAGAAAGGATCGGAGCGATAAAGATGGGATGGTCAAGGGCTTTCACATCGCAGTCAGCCTCGCACTTCAGTCACAAGGTGGCGCCGTCAAGTGAACCCGTAACCGAGCTTTCACTTTCTTAAGGAATCCCTTTTTAAAAGTGCTTTACCTTCCTCTGGTCCTCTGGATGGAGGAACGCTGCCATTCAAGTTTTCGACCTTAAGGCTAAGTGGACTCCAGGACTGGTCTGAAGGAAGACGTGAAAAAAAGGAACGCATGTGTTCTCTTGCCCGAATCCTGGACGAGGATTCGCGAGTTGACGTTTTCACCAAAGTAAGGTAGGTGGGCGATGTTTTGCCGTTTCCAGACTTCCCGAACAACAACATCTTGTCTTTAGAGTGAAGGAAATATGAAGGGGTCAGCTCGGCGGGTTTCTGCAAGAAGCAATCTGAGGTCGACATCTCACAACTCCTTCTGCAGGTGGGCATACAACAAAACATCGGCGGAAACGGCGTTTCCTCTGCACAGACGAAACACAAGTACTTCGGACAATCCCTCCCTGCTTGCAGGAAGAAGACCGGGCGTTTGCATCTAACAAATCCTTCGTTCCAAAGCATAGCGGCAGTCCGATGTGGGCTTCTGCGGCTTCAAGTCGCTAGCCCCAGACTAAAGGCCATTTGTCAGCGCACCCGCAAAACGAGCCTGTGTAATGTTCCCTGCCGCCTCTTTGTAACGTCGTTCACCAAAGACTTTCGGAAACCTGCACTCCCGCCGCCTGCTTTCCGATTTCCGCGCACCCCAAATCGGCTCCGTTGGAAGGTCAAGCGGAGTTCCCTTATATGCACCAAAGCATCCACGAAAATTCTTTTATCCGACCCGTGTGCAAATAAATCAGCTTTCACGATAGTCAGGAGCAAGACAAGCAAATCTCCTGGCATACCTGCCCAAAGGAGATTCCGGTTTGGCCCCCCGGTTGGTCCGTCAGCTTCCCGGCTCTCACGATCGTGTACGGAACGCCGCTCCCCGCCACGCTGGCCTCATCGTCTAGGTAGCCCCGCAATGATTTGAAGCCCCACAAGCCGCCGCCATCCTTCTGTTTCGAGGTCCCGACCTGCGGGGGAGCAGTGAATGCGACATGGAGATGTCTCGTTGGAAGTATATGCTTGCGTGGATTGATCCGTTAGAAAATCAACTCAGCAAAAGGAGAGTTCTGGGACCAAGGCTTGGTTTTGTACCTTGGCTTCGGGGGAAGGCCCGAGTAATTTTTTCATCGGAAAGACTTTCCCTGTCTTGATGAAGGCGAGTCCAAATCAATGCCGACGTCAGCAAAAGTGGTGACACCTAGCGGACTGTACACGTTGTGGCTGGACAGAAGTATTTCATGCGACCTGAATAGGATGCAGCCTGAAATCGTCAGCAGTGAGAGCATATTGCGAGGAGGACGGGCTAGAGGGCCAGAGTTTGGCACGGAAGTATGGACAGACCTGTGAGAAGACGGAGACAAGACAGCACCATCGCTGAAAGCAGGAGCCGTGCTGACCGAAGCAGCAGAAATGCAAAGATGACAGTTCATCAAAAACTCAGGCGACCAGCTTCGGATGAGTATATTTGGAACGGCAACCCGGAGCTTGGATCTGGACGATCCGATCTTGTCTGCACGAGCTCGCCACCCGCTTCCTGGTGGTCCTCTAAAACGCGACTTCAAATTCGAAACGCTCGTGCGGCCACAGACTGAATCTTCTGAGTCCAGACTCAGACTTTTGGGCTTAGTGACCATCATTACAGGACATGAGTAGGATCACAAGGTGACAACTTCCGAACCCAAGTCTCAATGGTGTGACCGGATTCAGCTCCGGATGCAGGTTCAATTCCAATTTCTAGTCCAACAACCATCCTTAGATTTCTAGGTCGAAGATCAGTAATCTGAGTCCGAATCATGCCAGAATGCAGGTTGGAAGAAGAGGCACAAATTCCAAAAGCAAGCCTTGGAATTCCTCTCCAGAATGTTACCTGCGAAGAGTTGCCTGAGACGAGTGCTCCCGTATCAACTTCGGGAAACAACAAAGGGGAAGGAAGCAGGAACAAACAGACAGAATGGAGTGCACGAATCAAGATTCGTGCACTCCATCTTGCGCACCTGTGACAGCAGCACAATATGCTCGACGCCCGCCCTCCTGGCCACGTCCACGACGCTCCCGACTCTAGTTGTCACAATCACCGCTCGCACCCCCTCCCCCATCGCTTTCTCCACGCTTTCCCCATCTTTCACTTCGCCAACGATCGGTTCTACGTACGGTCCGAAAGAGGCTTTTGCTTCTTTGGCATCTCGGACGAGCGCTCGGACGCGCTTTCGCGCGAGGATGAGGGAAAGAACGACGAGCTGGCCGGTGGGGCTGTCGGCGTCGGTAACTAGGATGGCGTCTTTAGGGCCCGAGTACGTTTGCTTGGGGAGGGGTGCCGGCTGCGAGACACAGAGCTGGTTCAGCGAAAGCAAATTGTACGAGGGGTTGTGGTTTGGAGGATCTGAAAACATTCAGAATGCTTCTTGAGAGGGATTTCCTGGCTTGTATCCTTGTCAAGACTTGAGCTAAAAAATAACCCCTCCAGATCCAACTGAAGTGCAAAACAGTCTCCAAGAACAGGGGACCAACTGTACTGAACGCATTTGCTTGAGAAGAAACTTGTGCACTGTATCAGTTATGGAAATGAAAAGGATATCATGATGGGGACAGTATGGACGAAGGTGCTCATCAAAAAATAAACGTAGGCTTCCCACCCCTGGGAAGGTCGCAAATTGCTTCAAATTTTTGGACTCCTTGGGATGGGGCTCTTTGTGTGTAAGCACAATTCAAAGATGCTCGGAGTTCACGAGCTTACGAAGCAGTGCAATTTTGAATGAGAATGTATGTATGTTGCGATGCAGATGCGGAAGACCTGAGACGTGTATTCTTGGAGTATGCTCCAAGAGCAGATTGCTATGTGTGAGCCAGTGCTGTTTGTATAAAAGTGACGCAACCTGACTCTTTTGCACATGGGTCAAATCACTGCAATCTGCTTTTGTAGCAGGAAACCCTCTTTGCTTAATACCCCCCACCACCACATCGTAAGTGGTGTTCAAGTTTCAACATTTACTCCAATTGATAGTGCAATTACTCCAATTGATAGTGCAATTACGGGCAAAGAAAGGGCCATCGCCTGCAAGTGATTAGCCAACTTACTTTTCCTTCTTCAATTCCACCGTCCCGCGGCGCCGCCTCTTCTTGACCGTACCACTTTCGCAGCTTTGGCCCCCCCTCAATGTAATCCAGCAACTGATCACCGAAGCTCAGCTTTGATTTCCTACCGGGGTCTTTGCTCTCCGCCGTCACTTGAAACCTCCTTCGATGGACCTTTCTTTGCGCATTCAATTTCTGCAATGAGGGATTAAGAGGTCCCACATTGTGCCGGAATCGGAGCGTGCAGAGCTTATTCTGTAGGAGTATCCTGTGAGTTGCGCGCTTGCCAGTGTCGAGGAGACACTGTGTGCCAGAAGCTACGTCCCGGCAATACAACAGATCTGTCATTTTGCCTACAATCAGATGCCTTGCGGCTCCCTTGATCTTTTCAATAGGGTCCAGCCCCAGCCGACTTTGTAATCAACCAAACACAAACTCAGGTTGCATACGGTTTGATTGAATCACTGCGAATCTGAGATGGATTCTCTGTAGATGAGCTTGGATGAGCTATTGTCTTCGAAATTGAACGATCAATCAGCAACCAAGGCAGCAATGTAATTGCGTCGTCTGCTGTCAAATTCAGAACGTGTATCGAATGCAACTTTTTGCTGCCTGTTTGTCAAAGAGCAATAGTTTAGTCAGGCCAGATTCTGGCCGTTCGCGAGAAAGTGAGCCCAATGCCGCCACTGCGCCAGCTAGTGTTGTTGCATTCTGAAAGCGGATTGTAGGAGCACTGAAATCTAACTTCTGTCAGATTCTGAATCTGTCGAGTTCTGCTGGCGCCAATTCAATGGTGCTTCGTGAGGCAGCCAGGCACCTATCTAGAGCGAGGCGAACTTGTCAAAAACGAAAGAAGGAGAGCTGCCGCCAGGCTGCCGCCAAGATACCGCTTCTTCAACCCTGTTCTTGATCGAAGGGTTTGCGAGTCTCCACGCACGAAGAAAGTGACCGATCGACGGTATATGTACCAGCCGTCAAAATCCGTCAAGGTTTCGGGGCCATGTTGTGCATTGTGAACTGACGAGTTCGTCACCAGCCATGATCTGTCACTCAGTCAGTGTCAAGGACCAGTTCAGATCTTGCTCAGCTGGCGATCTAGAACGAGCAGAGCTTGGCACTGTACAGGGAGAGCAGCAGAGCTCTGAGCAGGGAGCTGAGCGTGAAGTTGGCGCAGCTGTGAAAGGCAGGAAACTAAAACACACACCTCTTGATCGCGCCGTTCTTCGTGAGGTTGCATATAGAGCTGGCACAGCTGCTCGTGAGATCTCACGTGTCCTAGCTGCGGTGAAGCCGGCGCCGTCGCTTCCATGAGAGAAAGATTTAGAGCTGCCGCCTCAAGGTCTTGGTGTCCCCCTCACCTCTGGTCCGCTTGTCGCTCTCCAACCTTCACAACTCCTGAAGGAGATTGTCTTAACGCCATCCTGAGAAAGGATTGAGCAGGAAAGGGTGTCAATAGCTACAGCCTAGAGAAGCACACCATCTTTCCAAGCCTCTTGCTCCTTCCGTATGATCAACAGCATTGCGCGCTAAGCAGAGAGTTGGCCTCCTGGGAAGACCTGTTGATCGATTACACTGCGTAATCCCAGGGGTGCTGTTGAGTTGCAGTAACCAGCTTTGGTTTAGCCTGGTTTGTCATTGGTCTTAATAACATCTAGGTTGCTCGCAGAGATAGAGAATGGCAGGCTCAGTGGCTGTCTGTCCTGGAACAAGTCACTTTGCTGGGTTAGCTGGACTTAACCAACATACTTCTCCACAGCCAAGCAGTTCGGGTCGGTGTCGCGCCCCAACACTTCCTGCCCTGTCACGGTCAGCGTTTCTGGGTTACTTCTCAGGTCATGAGCGGAACGTGCACAAGACTATTGATTCCAGGAGGCGAAAAGTGAGGGCGGTTGCGTCCCCTCCCCGTCTGCGGCCTCTTTCGACGCCAAACAATGAAACTGACAAAATTGCGGTTGAAAAACGATCGGGCCTCCTTTCGGAAACCCCTGTCGTTTCGTTGAACGGGCGGGCGATCATTAGCAGGGGGAAAGAGAAAAATGAGCGGATGGTCCCGATTGAGGTGGCTCTGTCACGGGTTAGAAACGGGGGCACGCCACAACAAAAGATGAAAGACACTTGGGAGGCGCCTTCTGTGGAGTTACGGAGGGGCGATCCAAGCACGTCTTCAAACGGTGCCGCAGTCCCAGCTATTTCAGACCGAGCGCTTACGCAAGCATCAGCAGAAACCTCGCTGACTTCAGCGGAAGCGCCGTCCGCAAACCGGAGTCGCAAGGGCGTGGAGTTGAAGAGGGGCACAGTGGTTCTGCGGAAAGGACCCCTAAAGAGTCCCGCAGACAGCCTGGGAGTCAGCCCCGAGAACGGAAGCTCTAACGGTGCCTATAAGACGCAGACGGCGTATGGGTCCAGTTATCAGAATGGGGCGGCCCGGAAAAACGACCTGGCGATGAGAATAGGCACCAGTGCTGCTGCGAACGGGCTGGTGGGGCAGGCAGCGGGGGCGTTAACACTACCCAGCCAGGCGCAGTCTGGGATCGTTCCTCCTAGTGGGATGAGGGCGGCAGCAGTGTATGGATTGAGAGAGGAGGAAGTGAAAATTCTGCCCTCGGACGAGGACTTCAGATGGAGCAAGGAAGGGTGAGCTGTTCTGCAAGGTTTCTACTTTAGGATTTGTGATGATTGGTTTGGAATTTTACCGTTGAGTAAGGTGTGGGCCTTCGGAAGAGCCAGACTTGGCTGGGAAAGTGCAGATTAGAGCGCAGGCGACATTTTACTTGGCTCTCGCTTTTTCATACTTCAAACCATCGAAGTGAAGAAGTTTGCTAGCTTCTTCCTATCTGTTCTCCTGGTCCATTGTGTTTCTCTTTATGATTGACCTTTCACTTCTTTTCCTCATATTTCTGCCTGATGTACAGTGTAGAAACCGTCTCCACAGCAGGCTTCTATTTGAAGAAGCACGCTGCGACTTTCTTCACTCATAGTTCATCTGTGCGCGTGCTTCTCTAAATCGCCAATCTTTGAGTCATCTTTTTACCGTTTGCCCCCATCCTCTTTAACAGCTGATCGCCTCAAGAGAAGCACATACTGGAACCCTGTTGAGACCATGTTCTAAGTTGAATTAGAGGAGATTGGTTTGTTCTTAAGTGCAACTCACTCCTCGTGACGGCGCACCAAAACGTGCCAAAAAAGCCCGCCCAAAGAAGCTGCCCTCTGTTCGAACTCCCCACTCTCTCAGCAACAGCAAGCCGGTTGTCTTGATGTACTCAGAAAGGGAATAAAGGTCTCACGGCGGCTGAATTCGTTGCGCTGCACCGATACCTTTTCTAAGTCGACCAGCCTAATTGTTGGCAAAACGGAACCTTTTGATGCACTGAAAATTCAGATGTTTCTTAAGGAGTCTTACGCTTCCAATTCCAAAACTAGAAACCGAGAGAGTTGGTTGTTTCTTGGTAAAAGTCGTTGCGGAAGGACAACCAAACATTATTCGGAGCGGGAGGAGTTTGCGAGTGCCTTCAGGTCATGTAAAAGGACAAGCTTCGTTTTCATTTGTTTCTGCAAATGCGGGTTGCGTGAAACGAGCAGTCTTGACCCAGTGTGTTTACGCCGCTTTCAGGTATTCCAAGACGAGGAGAACCGTCGACGTGTGGTCTTTCGTGCTGTTGTTGCGGTCGCGGCTCTACCTGATTGACCAAAAGTGGAGCTATGTCGGTGGCTTTAACGAAGAGAAGAAGGTGGGTCGATTGCTCTGTGCAGAAGAGCCGGTTATATGCAAAGGAAAAAGCCAACCTTGCCGGTTTTCGCATACGAAGAAAGCCGACTTGCAGCCTGGGGCCTCTGCTTTTGCCCTTATAAGTGGACGTTCCATCACGCCCTTGTTTGCTGCCCGTTTTAAACTTAACGAGAATCCTGTGGTCCTCAGAGCAGAGGGGAAAGGGATGCTGATGTGTCTCTCCAGTCTTTTCTCCTGTTCTGCATCAGCTTCAGCCAGTTCTATCGGTGCGAAAAGCTTTCAAAGGACGAGCTACTTGGCTCTTCCCCAAGCTACTTCAGATTCTTAACGCACTCTGAAGCTCCTACACGTGCGCAAGCTGGCGGCGTGGGTGCTCGAGAGCATTCTTCAGTTGGATCCAGCGTTCATTTAGACCGGGCTTTTTTATTTTCGTGAGCCGAACTTAAGTAACTCAGCTTCAAACACGAAAGTGAGGTACTCTCAGATTTTTCACCCGCTCTCAATCTCCTACAGAAAGCGCGCACGCGTAAGCTGGCGGCGTGGGTGCGTGAGAGCATTTTGCAGTTGGGCCCGACGTTCATCAAGGTCGGGCAGCTCTTCTCCACGCGCTCGGACCTGTTCCCACTCGAGTTCGTCGAGGAGCTCTCCAAGCTGCAGGTGAGCCGGTGTGAAGACGCTTTTTTTGCTACTAGATTGGTGGCGACTTTGGGCAACGCTCATTTGTTGCAACTTGAGAGTAATAATCGTTTCTCGGTCATCTAAATTTGGACGATCTTATTTTCGTGAGGTCCAGAAAACTCTTCCAGACTCCTGACTCCTGTATGTTGCTTCTTCGGGAGTTTTGCATCTTCAAGTCATCCCTCCGCTCTTGAGATTTCGAGGTAACGGTCCTTTGAATTGCTTCCCGTCCAGTCCAAAGTAACCGTTCCCGTTTTGGGCATCACAAGTCCGGGCTATTTACACTCTGGCGCAACTCTTTCCGGTGGAAATCCGCACTAATCTGCACCGGACTGACCTTGGGTACGTCGAATCGTTCCGGCAGGACCGTGTGCCGGCCTTCTCAGCGGACAAGGCGCGCGCGCTCATCGAGAAGGAACTGGGCGCCCCGGTGGACGAGCTGTTCGCCCGGTTCGAGGACCGCCCCCTTGCCGCAGCGAGTCTTGGCCAGGTGGGTGGATCAATCCCGTGCTATTCGGCGGACACCATATCTGTTTTCTCCTTCGTACCCTGTTGCTGAATCGACTGTTCCTAGTTGGTGTGTAAATTGAAAGGCCTTTCAAGTCGTACACTTGGACGGATCTTCCAGATATCAGAACAAGGAAGAGGTAAGCTTTGCTTCGAGGATCCGGAAAGGAGAGTCCCGGATGCCCGCCAACCCCCGGGTCTCCCGAACATAGATTTTACGGGCCAGTGCCAAATAGCAGAAACATACTCAGTCTTTCAGACCAGGCGCGCCTCAATTCTAGGTTTAGTGATGTCAAAGATCGTGGATGGCGGATTTCTGCGGGCAATCCAATCTCTTCTAATCCCGCAGTATTCCTGAAATCACGCCAAAGTGGCATCCTTTCAAGTAAACGACAGATGGCAACTTTTGCCGCAGGCCCATCGTGCATGGCTTCCGAGCGGCGAGGAAGTTGTGGTCAAGATTCAACGGCCAGGATTACAGGAGCTCTTCGACATCGCCATCGTAGTCTTCCAAACTGTGAATATTCAACGCCTGTGATTTTGAAAAGCCAAAGGTTTAAAAGTCGTGGTCACGAACCAGCGGTCGGGATTGAAGGAGCTCTTCCAGACTTAACCGGTTTCCCGAAAACCTCAAACCCCAAAAATCCGAAAGTTTAAAACAGCTAACTACGTACAACTGGGATTGCGCAGGTGCACCGCGCGTGGTTACCGACCGGCGAGGAAGTCGTGGTCAAGATCCAACGGCCAGGATTGAAGGAGCTGTTCGACATCGACCTGGAGAACCTCAAGAAGATTGCGGACACGTTCCAGGGCAATGATGACGTCGGCGGGCCGAGCCGCGATTGGCTCGGCATTTATGACGAGTGCGCGACGATCCTGTATCAGGAAATCGACTACATCAACGAGGGGCGGAATGCGGACCGGTTCAGGAGAGACTTCCGGACGTACGGATGGGTCCAGGTGCCGAAAGTGTACTGGGGCTACGCGTCCAAGAAAGTGCTGACGTTGGAGTACTTGCCAGGTACAAGATGTTATGGCTTTTCAGCTGTTTGGGTGGTTCGTATTCAAGAGCGGGCTTGCTTTCGAGCTTCTTGATCTTGGGTTGCAATCGTACGTGCAAAGAAGTTAACTTGCCAGTTTTCTAAATTCCAACTTCAGATTCGAAGATGGGGGTTTTGGACAGGGCAAATAGGTTGGTATTGGGAGGTGGGGTTTGGAGCATTTCTTTCCGAGGGCTTGTTTACGCGATCAGAGATTGTTTGCTAGCTGGCACATCTATTAGTCGGCTGGAAGTTTCGAAGCTTTCTCTACCTGGGTTTGAAGCTTCTCTTTCTGCTTTTTGTATCTGAAAGGCGGGCTTGAAATTGCAGCGGCCTCCAAGAATTATCGCTTACCCGGTCTGACTCCGCTATTTAAAAAGGAGTCTGATGAACGAAACCTCTTTCTCGCAGGGTTAAAGATCAGCGACGTCGCGGCTCTGGACGCAGGCGGTTATGACCGCCCGCTTCTGGCCCGCCGGTCAATTGAGTCGTACCTTATACAGGTTAGTCAACCCATCCATTTTTCTTGCTTCCAAATCAGTTATTCGCACTGTGCTTCAATGAAAGTTGCCTCGTATCTTTTCGCGGGGAACACTGCTCACGTGAAATGGCGTGTGCATGTACGTCGACGAAGTACAAACTCGTAATCCTGTGCTGATAGGGCTTGAAGGGGGCGCGGTCGATTCCGTCAATACAGTATCAGCATTGTGCCTTTCGCCACAACTGTAAGCACGCGGCGGGTAAAAAAGCGACTGCAAGATTGTTACACCTGCTTATGGGACGCCCGTTTTTGAGGTTATTTGTCCGCTCTGGCCAGATTCTAAGGACGGGCTTCTTCCATGCGGATCCGCACCCCGGCAATCTGGCCGTGGCTCGGGACCAGTCGCTGATCTTCTACGACTTTGGTGAGCAGCGCCGTACTTCCTCTTTCCGGAGTTGTTCTGCACCATTTTCGGATAATCTGCAGACAGGGCACGGTTTTTAAATTGTGTTTGAGAAGCCGCATCGCCCAAGCTCTATCAGAGAATACGCAGAAGAGAATCAACTTCTGACTTCGCAGCACAACCTCAAATTAGGCGCACGGCGCACCTAGTTGCCTCCGTTATTGACATGACATGTTCCCGAAACGGTAAGGCATTTGTATTCGTGATCCTATTGGTCGAAATCCTTACCGGGTTGACAGCGTTGACCGAGATCAAAATTTGAGCGACTAACCCCCCTATTGACCCCAGCAAATTCCCTGCTTCAAAAACGAGAAATCCAAACCCTCCAGTGTCCACCAAACCCTTGCATCGCAAAAGCTTTAAGTCCGAGGGGAGGACATTCTAGTTTCCGCGAAAGCGTAGGGTGCAGCGACCTTTCTAAGTTTTTACCCACGACCCCCCGGCTGACGTTTGTCAACCCTGATACTCAACCAGCGATCACTTTGAAAGATCCTGGGCTGTTTGCTGAACGATTTGTAATTAACGCATCGGACCCACAGTGTTGTTCTCAGATGCTCTCTGGCTTCGACCTTGCTTGGGTCGGTCTTCTCGAAGGTCTGTCTTCTCGAAGGAAACACACCTGCGAACCTTGGTTACTTAGAACCTCAAGAACATTAAATTGATTTCTTTCGCAGGTATGATGGGCGAGATCGCAAAGGACACCAAGACCCGGCTGCTCGAGGTGTTTTACGCGGTGTACGAAAAGGACGCGCGCAAGGTCATGGCCGAGCTCGTCGGCCTCGGCGCGCTCGTGCCTACTGGCGACCAGACCGCGGTAAGTGCCGTCACAGTGACGTCAGCTTCTGTGTCATCTTTCTTACGGCTTCATTCAATGGGTTGAGGTCGTCCGCCTTGGCGCGCTCGTGTCCACCAGGGACCAGACCGCAGTGAGTGACGTCAAGGTGACGTCACTTTTTCTGGCATTTTCCTTGCGGCTTCCAAGCGCTAGGTGCTAGGTCGAGGAGGTTGGCCTCGGTGCGCTCGTCCCAAGCGGCGACCAGATCGCGGTGAGTGACGCCATCGCTGACGTTATCATCAGCTGTGTCAACGTTTTACGACCTTCAGACTGGGCCGAGTTGGTCGGGCTGGGCGCGCTCTTTGACCAGACCGCGATGAGTGACGCCGGTCATGACGTCAGTGTTTGTGTCGATATCAACGACCTCGGCTGAAATGACGGAGCTCGTGAGCTTCGGCCCACCAGCCGCCAGACCTCAGTGTGTGGCACAGGCACACGGCAGATTTATCACGTTGCTCGATGTGCTTATGCCCGCTGGTGGCCAGACTTACGTGAAGTGACTTTTTATCTCGTCTGCGGGTGTGGTGAAGCATCTCAGTATTCTGGAGCAACCTTTGCTTCGCTGAAGGGGCCAGCTTGTCCGACCGAAGAGGAGTAGGGACAGCAGAAGCTCGGAAACGTTTCTTGGGTCGAGGACCTTGATACTGACTAGTTCGCGAGTGCAATCCTCTTGCTAACGAAGCTTTCAACTCTTTGCAGGTACAGCGAAGCATCCAGTACTTGAACAACTGCCTTCCGAATTGTCATAAGATCGACAAGGAGAGGATTGAAACCTATTCGACTTTCCGATGTGGGTTAAATCGATCACATTTTATCACTCGAAAAAGTCGCCCCCTCGATGCTGAGCCAATCTATTTCTTGTTTCCAGGTCCGCCGAAGCATCCAGTACTTCTTGAACAATCTGACCCCCGCCGAAGGTCAGAAGACCGACAAGGAGAGCATGCAGAAGGCGCAGGACAAGACGCTCGCCGCGATTGGCGAGGACCTCTTTGCGATCGCCGTCGATCAGCCCTTCCGTTTCCCCGCGACGTTCACGTTCGTGTTCCGCGCGTTCACGACTCTTGAAGGTACGTGTTGGATTTTCGTAGGTCTTGATCTCGTCAGACCGGGGGTGCGAGTGGGTTTGGGCAGGGGGTTTACTTGCGTTGCCGGTAATTAGCCTTTTGTTTCTTTCATGTTCGTGTTCTGCGCGTTCACGACTCTTGAAGGTACGTGTTAGATTTTTCGTAGGTCTTGAGCAGTCAGACCGGGTTTGCTAGAGTGAGTTGCCTGGTTTTGGGCAGGGGGTTTACTTGCCGTTGCGGGCAATTAGCCCTTTGTTTCCTTCACCTTCGTGTTCCGCGCGTTCCTGACACTTGAATGACGTTTTTGGGTTCCCGGAGTTCTCGAGCTCGTGAGACCGGGTTTGCTAGAGTGGTTTGCCTGGGTCTGGGTCAGGGGGTCGGAGTGCCGTTGCCTTCAATCAGCCGTTCCGTTTCCACGTGAAAATCACGTTCATGCTTCGTGCGTCTTTGACACTTCGAAGTTTCGTTTGGGGAGGGTTCGGACGGTCTCGAAGTCGTAAGATTGGATTTCGTAGACGGGTTCGCCTGGATCTGACGAGAGGGTTAAATCACCGTTGCCGGTTATCTCCCAGTCTATCAGACCTTCCCGGTTATGTTCCGCGCTTACAGTGCTTCCCAATTTGACAGCTTCCTATGTCTTCGGGGTTTTGAGGTTATAGAGTTTCAGAGGGTCTCTTGTATCTTGTTTTTGTGCAATCATCAATATTCCGTCAGGTGGTTTGTTGAACTTTCTTTCCAGACACGTTGCTGACGCCTTAGGAGTGTTTCTTGAGCCGAGTCTTGTGCATAAGCGGCCTCAAGCTCTGGCGCAAAGACGGGTTTCCTTCATCACGCTCCCTAAACTTGTATACACACCCGAATCAAACACTCCATCAGAGACAGATTATGTCTCCCTGGTGTCAACTGCAGAACTTCATCCAGAAACAATCGCTATTATAAAGCCTCTTGAAGGAAGCAACCGAGGCGTAGTTTGCCCTGTCTTTCAGGAACCGTTCAGTTGCTCGATTTTGACGTCAATGTGACTTCTGACTATGGTTAGCTGGCTCGGTCTTACGACTGGGGTTTGCTCCTTTGAGACCGCCGCGATCGATCCTTGAAAGAGCGTGTTCTTTGACCAGGTATCGGGAAGATCCTCGACCCGGATTTCTCCTTCATCACCGTCGCAACTCCGTACGCTGAGGAACTGCTCGAGGTGCGGAACCGGCGGTCACAGCGCGAGTTTATCGTAACCACGCTAACCAAGCAGGCCGAAGAGGTGAGGGTTTTGTGCAACCGGGTTTTTAACCCATTTCAGAGTCTATTTACCTACGTACTGTCCGGAGTTTTGCGACCGTGCTGATTATGCGGCTGGTTATTGGTGACTTCAAGATGGAGCCAATTTTCGTAGCAAGAGTGCAACTTCGCTGAGATAATGAAGCAAGCCGGAGAAGGGGCAGTCTTAGCAGTAGACGTGGAGAAAAACTTGACACTCGACAATCCTTGAACGAATGGCACGCCTGATCTGTAGTCAAACCAAGGTATGGCGACGACTGGAATGTGGAGCTCATTTGCAGGTTCGAGACTCACGTGGATCGAAATGTGCATACTTCGTACCAATTTGTTTCGAGAAAACGTGCACACGTGCCCACGTGGATTACAAGATGAGATGCTGAAGACCTGCCCGATTCTCAGTCGGGGCGAAAGCTGAGCTACGTTGCTTTTCGTCCTATGCAGGCCAGAGACGCTGCTCTCAACATGCCTGCGAGGATCCAACGGATTGACGACATCCTGACGTCACTCGAGGCCGGCGACTTCAAACTCCGCGTGCGTGTCCTAGAAGCTGAGCGCGCGGCACGACGGAGTGGTATCCTCCAATTAGCGACTATGAACACGGTTGCCGCGGTTGGGTTGCTGAACATCGGAGTGACCCTGGCGACAAACGGAGCGACTACGCCCGCGAATGCGGCGTTCGTTTTGGGGAGTGCGTTTAGCGCGTACGTTGTATGGCAAATGAGGAGGGTCAAGATTCTTGACAAGTTTGAGAAGAAGTTGTAGCGTTGTTTGGAGCAAAATCTTGGATGGCGCACGCTTTACCAGCAACGGATTCGATTCATTCTTTGTACATGCATAAATTTGACAACATTATATACGTGCACAAGCTTCTGAAGTATCCGCGCGGCACAGACGATTGTTTTACATCGAATGTATATTGCGTCACTTGCTAGTGCCACAGTTGTGCAAACCCGAAAAATGGCGTACGTCAAGTGCAATGGCGAAGGGTAAATTAACGGCCGCCCTGGTGCACGAGAATGTGAGCCTGACTGTATAGTGTTGGAATCTCTGCCAGTGCCATGCGCGATCGGAAGTGATAAAGATTGTAATGTGTATGTACAATCATCATCTTAATCTGAAGCATGCGTGTTGTTTGGTCGACCCGAGCAAGTACCGACCATGTGACGGTCACTCTTGTGCACTAACCCTGCGAGATCCGTTGCTGCTACTTGAATATGTTACTAACCATGCATGACCGATCGGGTACGTGCCGCGAGTCCTATTTCAATAGTGTGCATGCTTAAATTAGGATCCGGCCGATATCGCGCGCGGGCCGCCGCGGGTAATTTAAGGACTTGAAGTGCCTGAAGGACACATAAAGGCCATGATTAATTGTTGTCCAAGGAACGGTTACTAGCTAGCACGATGATAGTGCAAGTGCAAGCATCTTTCATGAATTTCGATATTGTGATCGCTCTTGTCCTACATGCCATTGCTCGATTGCTAACTCAGAGCATTCACTGCCAACTTAGGTATTCTGCTTCGGTGCCATGAGCTAAATCTTGCGACCCTCAGATCTCCCCCAGATCTCCTCCTGTAGGGTCAGATCGATCACCATATCCTGATCGGATGCATGTTTTGATGCACGCATTGAACTTCGCTAGATAGACAGAATGCGAGCCAAAATTAAATCCATATGCACATGAATGAGACTCGAGGTTTCGCCGACGCGATTCAAGTTGCTAGCTCGGGATAGGAACCTAGCAACTCTCAGGTACCTTTCAGATCTACGTGACTGGCGAAGTCTATTCACGCAGGCGCACTACGTTATAAACGGCATTCTGTGGTTTGAACGTGGCAACGTGGCCGCAATTTGTGCGCGAGAAGGAGGGTTGCAAGCGGTCACACATCATATTCTGACATTCGAGTTTACAGATCTGGTCGCGCCCAGTCAACGAAATCAAGCTCCGTACAAATATTAATGGATTTGCAAACCTTTGCGTCTGGTTTCGGAACGAGATTACCTGGTATGGTGCCCAGCTTAGGTGCCCCGGGGCTAGATCGAGCGGGGTCTTTCACGGACTGCTGTATTGTCCCGGGACGACTTCGTCAAACCCACTTGCGGCGGGAGCAGAGGTTAGCGAAAATGTTCATACGAGTTTTAACATGATTCTCAGAGTACCTGCACTGAGCATACCGGTACGGTCTTCAGTTCCCGACCGGCAACAATGAGCAGCGCGTCTTCGAGCCGCCGCATATGACGCGCGATATAACGGGAAGGCGTATGGGGCTGAAGGCGGTTCAGACCGCACCCCAGGCCTTGTTAAACCATGGACTGCTTATGGGGTACCTTGGTCGCCGCGTTGCAGGCCGTATTACCTACATTAATTCTTCGTGACCTCAAAGGCTTGACCATGGATTGACGAATCTGACCATCTGCCTTCTGGCTGACGGCACATGGCGACGTTGAAGCCTGCTATGACGTACCGACGGTTCATAAGTTGGAGCGCCATTTTGCCGCCCGATCCCCAGATCCGCTCCGCCTGTTCAGCTTCTACCATAATGGCTCATCTTTTTTAAACCTCCCACACTGTCCCGACCGGTAGCTAAGAGGTACGGATGCTAGCTTACGTACGGCTGGGGTGTCTCCATGAGTAACTCGTATAAGAGCAGCAGCGCCGAAACGGTCATCCGGCGGCGAAGACGGGGCGAAAAACCGAGTCCGACTCCCGGGGCGGATTTCAATACCCCGTGCGGAATGCCCCGTGCGTTGTGCTACTAATTGGCTCCCAGTGCGACAAGGCCGGAAGCTACCGGTGTAGACTGTCAACAAGCCCCGGTGCCATTGTCGCCATAGAAGCAACCACCGTCGAAAGATCGAACTTGGTAACAGGTATGTTCCGTACGTCCAATTTTTGCCACCGTTTTGGTGTACCTTTTCTGTACGTACACCACTCAGCCAATCACAGTCTGGTGGGCCAGTAAAAGCACACTGCAGTGCAGTGAGCCTCATACCACTGGTGACTGCGCATTCTGTGCATACATTTTGCCATCATAGTGGTGCGCTCAGCCTCTGATTAGCCCCTTGTTCAACTGACGTCGTCGTCCTTCTCCATCACTAACTCCTCAATGCAAACCGTACGGGGTTCAGATAAATTGGAAACAAAACCATACGAGTACCAGGGTCGATTATAACCTTATTCCCGGAATTGAAAGTCGATCGTGAGCGTCAATCTCACATTCTGACGGAGAGATGTTCTGGGCAACGCTTCAAACCGAATCTGTATCGTCCATTTTTTGACCAAAATTAAAGGTTTTGTTCGTATTTTCTGGGCCGGTCAGCTGTACGTTATTAACGTTAGACCGTCTCCTAACTTTTCGGCGACCTAACCAACTTCACGGTTAGGATTGAACGTGGCACTTTTCGTGCACCGGGCACTCGTCAGTGCAGCGCCCGAATTTGGCAAGCCTGAATTACTGAGTCGGGGCCACTTGCATTCGCAAGTTCCAACTCGCAACGCCGCCATGGCAACACAGTTTGACTACCTAACTAGTGCAACTGTCAGTGCAACTTCCGAAGCGCCTTCATCGTGCTCATCTCTGAATCATTCACTAGGTCGAGAGCGGGTGAATGTTCAGCTTGTGCACGTCATGAAGTCCTCGGCCAACTGTCAACTGAGAACAGGATCTGTTTTGGTAGATCCTATGATCCGGCATTGCAGAGTTTCGAGCATTTCGAGACCGTCTCTACCACGACGTGTTTGTTGTCAGTCATGTGCAACTCTCTCGTCTCAGGTTTTCCAAGTCACGTAGCCATAATGGACTCTACAGTGAGCTGCCGCAGAGACTTGGCCGAAAGGGCACCTTGCCGGGCTGGAAGATGCTTTCTGAGGTTTGGAGGCGAAAGCTTTGGAGGAGCTCTGTGTGACAGCTGAGCCCTTGGCGCCAGGTGTCCAAGGCTATACAAATGTGCTTCACATTTGCCTGCCGTCAGAGTCAGAAGTAGGCTACCGGAGAGAAAGAGGTTTCTGCACTTGGAAGTCAATGAGCAACCGCCATTTGTGGCTGTCCCTTTGCTGCAGAACCAGGGGGTGAGAGTACAGCTGTTCAGTCCCTTCAGCTGGTCATAGCAGGGGGCTGTTATCTGTCGCTTTTGCTCCTCAAAATGGCCCGCTGCGCCAGCAAGCAGACTCTGTAAGGGCCCTCTAGACAGTTCAGCCGTTGCCAAGCCAGGCGCGTTGAAGAGATACAGCAAAGCGCGGTCCGTGAGAACAGGTGTCTTCATCCAGCCTTTGAAGGGTTTTCCTGAGGAGATGCCCTCCCCGTGACTCTACAGCGTTCCGCTGTTCATCAGAGTCTCCAAGCTTCTTAGGCAAGGCAGCCCGTTGGCGTACCCGATTAGTGGAAGCGATTGGCTGGGGCGTGCCTTTGAAACTCCTTGAAGGTGAGCGTGCGGAAGTTGTTTTCCTGTATCCTCGTAACCTTGTTAGATTCCCTTCCATTCATGTGTACTGCACGCATTAAATCTATCTCAAGGAAAGGTTGGGTTTACGGGGGCATAAAAACAACCTCTTGCTATGGGCCCAAGCAGAAACACCTGCCTTTGGAAGAATGCAGTCTAAGGACATTACCACATCCCTTTGTCTATGAGCTTGAACTAGGCGGGCAGCTGGTCATTGACTCCAGAGCGACATGTTCAAGCCAAGCAGCTCCACCTGTTGTATGTGTAGAAGTCCCCATCAGAGAATGAGCACGCCAAACCTGTCGTAGTAAATGTGGAGATTGGGCTTCCACCTGTTGCTACCTGCCAATTGCACAGACCTTTACCTGCACGCATGAACAGCCCACATTTGGGCTATCCTTTGACTGTTGTAGAAAATGTGCTGGAAGCAAAGAGGCAGGCACTGAGAGTTTGTTGGAAGGGGCTAGGGCCAGGGGGAATCATTTGTTATTCCATTCCAAAAAACACCCTGGCTGAAAGAGCTCAACAGGGGGTGGTTCTGACCCAATTACAATGGGTGCACATATGTAATACGCCTGACGCTGGGGCTCCTTGATGCGTCACCCGTTGCAATGCCGATATCCCAGGGATGTCAATGTGTGCATGCAGAAGGGTTCCTGATTCATGTTTCTCCAATCGCATGGATTGACCGCATACTGGTCGGCAGAGACTGGGTTCTCCTGGAGGAAGTTGTGGCTTAAGGGACTGCTTCAAGGGGCACTTTATGCATGTTTGCTGAGGCAGGGGGGTGTCAAGTTCGATTGAGGGGGCCAGTCACCCACATACTTTGGTAGGGGCAGGGAAAGTGACGAGTTTTCATGAGGATACTGTCATGAGGACACTCGTGTCCCTTATCCATACCTGCCTTTCCCTTCGCAAAGGTTCAGCACCCTAGTGAGCTCCACCAAACATGGTTCCCTCTTTGTAAGCAGAGGTAGAACAGTGAGCCCCTTGCAGACTGCTCGCTTCGCTCCCATATTTTGAAACAAACAGCAGATGTGCCGCTGCTTGTCTCTAGCAGAAGTACTCTCATTCGCTGACTTTGCCTTCTTTTCACACTTCCACGACCTCACCCACTCAACTCTAAAGCGTGGTTTGTCGTGCTCACAGACCCCCACTAAAAGTTACTTTTCTCTTTGCAGTTGCAAGGCCTCCCCTCCTCCCCCCCCAGAATGTCTGAGGCCACCTTCTCTAGGGAGGGGCCAGACTCCCCGCCCCCCCTCTCTCTTCCGGGGGGGTCCATTTCCAGCACGCGCTCCTCCTCCCCCGATGCTTGGGGGGTACCTCTGCTGACCAGTACAACCAGCAATGCCAGCTCATTTGAGTTTCACCCCCCCGACTCCAAATGGCTCCGACACCATGGCTTTCAGGCCAATACGTTCGCGACACCTGGCACGCCCGCAGACTATGAGGGCCCCTTCCGCACCAACGTCCGGGCATTCCTGGCGGAGTTTGGCGAGAGGGATCCCTCCCGAGAAGGCGCCCCAGGAGTTGCCACCTGGACGGTCTTCCTGAGGACACCTGGCGGCGTGGGGTTTGAGCTGCTGATTGTGGAGGAGAATGTCCGGGAGGCCAGGAACACCCACTGCGACCACTGCCGCTCCCAGGGTGAGAATAAGCCCCTACCTGTCATTCTCTTCTTCGGGGGCTTTGTGTGCTACACATGGGGGTTGTACTTTGCTGTCATGTGCTGTTCTTTGAGCTTCATTCCAGGTTCGCCTTTGCATGCACTTTCACTATGTTGCATTATCTTTTCTCTGTTGCTCCTTCTGGAGCAAGGATGAAGTACTCAGGTCCTACGCTTCTAGCTACTTTCTTTTTCAATCCTTTTCTTTCTTTTGGGTACTGCTTGACTTAAACAGCCGTTTCAAAGAGCTCCCTCCTGATTCGTATTTGGATACTGCATGGTCTGGATATTGGATCCTTGAACATCGTCAAAAATTGTAAAGTTTTGGAGAGTGATTGCTAAAGAAGTGGCATGCCTTTCAGGAGAGCACCTGTTGTTAAGGTTCTTGTCTTCCTGTTTTGGTAGATCCTCTATCTTCGTTCCTCCTTAAGGTTGATTAAGCAGCATTAATGAGCAGTTCTGATTGTTCTGCACCTCATAGGACTTGTCAATGCTTATTTTGAGTAAGGCCCCTTTGATTCCGGGGAGCATACCCTGCTGCCAAGTTAAGCTCTTCTTAACAGCGCCTCTCATTTGAACCTTGAAAAACCTTCGAGAGCTTTTCTCTTTATCCACCTTCATCTTTTTCACAAGCAGTCCTACTCCATAGTAAAGGATTTCTTGAAGCCTCAAATTTTCACAGAGTTCTCTTTCAGAGGCTGGCCTTTCATTTTGCCCAGTCTTTCATCGTGAATGCTCCAAAAAAGGTGCCACTAGAATGCATGCATCCTCCTCAGCGGCTGTACCAGAACTTCGTCGCCTTTCTGAGCAGCTTCAGTAGATATGTTCTCGAGACTCGTTAACCCAGGATTTGCCCCACAAGAACCAGAAAATACCCATTGCAGGAAGCTGAAAGTACTACTTAGTAAGGCTCTCTGCTCCCAAGAAAGTCGCAGCTCAAGTCTCTTGCAAAGACTCGTCAAGAACTGTCGACAACAACACATATCTTGCAAAAAGTGCTTCTTGGTTTCAGAAACCAACCGTGCAACAAGCGTCGCAATCTCTGCATCAAACCATCTCTCTCTCTAGGCTGGGCCCATCACCCTGTCTGCAAGCGACGCTACCACTTCATCATCCCCCGTCAGAAGTCGGACGACTCGGGCCGCTCACCCAAACGGACGTCCAAAGGGCCACGTGCCTGCCCCTCGTGCGACGCCGTCGTCTATTCGGACGAAGATTGGTGCTCCCTTTGCGGGCAGAATGTGGTGAGCTCTCTATTCCAAATTCCTTAGACCCACTGTTTTCCGGGCGTCACCGAACTCTGAAGTTGCTACCTAATAACTTTTCAAGAGTTTTATGACATCAGGATGTTGTCATAAGTTGTGTAGACAAGAAGTGGTGCACTTTGGCGAATCAAACTTAGGTGAGCTCTCCGCAGAAATCTCAAGATGGTCACTTCGACGTTTCGGTTTTCGAACTTTCAAGCTCAACATCTGGTTAGCATTTCTGGGCGTCTGGCCCTTGTCTGAAAAGTTCGGCTCACCGGTTTTTGAAAGAAGAAAGTCAGGATGGTTCCAATTTGGGGATCTTGTGCTTTGCGTTTTTGCAAAGCTTCCTTTTTGTATGAAAGCTCTATGACCGATTTTACAGTGCTTGCTGCGTCAACTTGTATCGTCGACTGACCTTGTCTATGTCGGGTGCTCCATTTCGCACCCGAAAAGCTTTCTTCGGTTTACAAACAGGCAAAGATTGCGTACGAACTCATTTCTCCTCCTCAAATCTGGCGCAGTTGGTTCTTCTCTTGATCTGGACCTTAAAGCAGACCCAAACGTGAACGTATTTCTTGCTTGCTGCCCCATTACCCGAAGGTCCAGCACTCGGTCTCTGGACGATCGAAAAGGATTCAAAAGGAGGCAGCTTCCAATCTACAAATGTTCACTGCACCAAAGAGCACCTGTAAATATCGATGACGTCTTTAGGGGCACCTGGCTCAGGCTTGCCGTTCTTGACTTCCGCCATCTGACCGTCGATGCTGTCGTCAAAGAACCAGCGCCGTTGATAGCAGGTTTAATGAAAGGTCCCTTAACTAAATTGGACTCCCGTTTCGTACGCTCAGGCGCTGTCCGGACTTCTCGAGGCGTCCGACCACGTCATGCATGGCGTCATCCACTCGAACGGGTACGGTCACCTGTACGTCATCAGCGGGAAGGAGAGCGGTTCGGCGCTGCTGACCGGAGCAGAGGCTATGGGTCTTTGGGATAGGATATGCGCCATGCTGCGCGCCAGGTAAGCTCCGAGATTTTTAACTAGCTTGGGCCTGAATCCAGTCGCTTTTCCGTCTTAGTATTGCTCATAAAAGATTGAAATGTGAGCCTTGAACCCCGACCTGAGGAGGAGGGAAGAAGGGCTCTAGAAGGCTGGTGAAAAGTTACGTCGTTTGCAATTCTTTTTGCGGAGAATGCAGATAGGGGTTACGCAGCCCTTCTCCTGACAAAAGAAAGAGCGTTACACAGCCCTAATCTTGTCAAACCCTCTGCGTTCATTCGTCCTTCTCTTTTCAGTGCATCTAGGGCAGAATTTGATCCTGGGTCTCAACGAAAGTTGCCCTTCCATAACTCCACCTGTCCGCTTTACAACCTAGATCACTTAGTCCTACATTTCGGAGTTCGGGAATCCGCATTTTCCTCTGCTCTAATTTTGATCTGACCGATCTCAATTTCTCCTCTAAGCAAGTCCTCTGACCTTGTTGGACCCCTTTTCTCGCCGAGTTTCCACTCATACTTCATACGTAAACCAGTTTCTACGCAGTTCAGTAAACAAAAATGTTGACTTTTTTATTGAAATCCTTCTCTAAACCCAACGTTGATTATTCCTTTTTCCAGGCGCATCAGTCTGGAAGACTCGTCCAAACGACTCGGCTGCGACCTGCGTCTCCTTCACGGCGTAGGTTACGGCCAAACCTGGTTCGGGAACTGGGGTTACAAGTTCAGCCGCGGCAGTTTCGGGATAACCCGCCAGGGTTACCAGCGGGCACTGGCCGCCCTGCGAGGCCTGGAGGTGTCCGAATTGTTGGACAAGATCGCTGGTGCGGACGACGAACTGGGCCGGATCGTCCGGCAGTACCAAAAGACAGGCGAGAAGGTGAGACCCTGTTGGCAAACATGGGCAGTTGACTCGCACGTTTTCTTCATTTCGAAGTTTCATTGAAGGGCTTCGACAGGGCCTCGCTTTGCCTCGGGAAGTAAAGGCTGTACGACCGACGTTTCTAAGAGTTTGGAGTCCGTTTGACTCAAAGTTGGCAGTCACAATGGGTCGCGCGCACAAGCAAGCTGGTTCTGAAACCGTTCCATCTTGAGACCCCATCGGTTCCATTCACCAGGGTCTGTGCAACAAAACAGAACATCTCCCCAGCCCCTTTTCTAAGAAGTCTCGACTCAACCTCAAAATTCTTGGCCATGGTGCGTTTTTGATCCGAATCCTTTCTAACTGTCGCGCAGGAGGTCAAGACCGTTGGAGACCTCGTGCGCCGTCTGCTCGAGACACGTGTCGCCACCACGGATGCCGCTAAATCTACACGCAAAAACTGCGACAATCTTCACTCGAGCGATTCCTGATTCAGTCAATCTTAAAACCGCCGGGTCATATCAACCCATGTCTAACCTCTTAGACTCTTTGCGCAGGAGCTCAAGACCGTCGGCGACCTAGTGCGCTGTTTGTTGGAGACACGTGTCGCCACCACGGATGCCGCCCCCCCGCCCCCGCCAACTCCCTCTCCCAAGCCGTGCGGACGGCCGACGAAGCGTTCGCGAGCGTCCGAAGAGGCGACCGTCCAGGGAGAGGAGCAGTGCCGCTGGTCGCCGAAACGGCTGGAGCACGTGCAGCAGGTGGTGCTGACCGCGTTGCTAGAGAGCGGCAAAAAGTGAGCGTCTCGAAGTTGTCAACATTCCCCTTTCCTTGTTTGTTTCGGCCTCTTCATGGTTAAGACTCGGTTCTAAATGATGTATCTGATTGAAGCTAAGCGCCCAGTCCGGAACAAGTATCAATCGACCTGCTATTTCGGTAAGAGTTCATGACCGCCCAATGGTCGCAGGCTGATTTTCTCAGGTCTGTCTCACGTTTGAACTGTAATCTCCTAATCTGACGCAACACACCTTCCCTTAAAGGATGCCGAGCTTAAACGCCCCTCCTTTGGAACTGACATATTTACCAAAGTCAGTTGAGTGTCCGGCAGACTTAACAATTGTCTACTCCTGATCGACAAACTGTCCTCAACAAAAAGCGACCCAATCGCCAATATGCACGACGAGGGAACTCATCACTCCCTCAGACTGCCAGACTTCGGACCCTCTTCCTTATGCAGGTTTGCGCCCCCGTCAGGAGATCCGCGATCTGGCCCCCCAGTCGATGGGGGACGCCGGGCTCCTGTCCCTAGAGTTGTCAGCTTATCATACGCCGTTGATAGCTTTTTGTACGAGACTGTCAGTGTATAATACGAGCCCCTTTTCTCATGCAGGTGGGTGCCCCGTCAGGAGATCCGCGATCTGGCCCGCCAGTCGGTGGGAGACACCGGGCTCCTGGACTACGTGCTAAAAGGCCTCGGGGGAAAGAAACTGGGCGGCTACACGTTCCGGAGGGAGGTCAACCAGGTGCGGTTTCGCTTAACCCATGTGGTCAAGGCCTTGATTCCGCTAACCTCTTTCGAAGGCGTTGCTACATTTGCAAATTGCTTTTAACAAGTCAAAGATTGGATCCCTTTCGGCTGGTCCGTCGGGGCTTTGGGTCTCGCGCTTCTAGTTCTCTGGAAAGATTGTAACGTTTGGTGTAGCTAGGAGGTCCGTGCGTAAGGTTCTCCTTGCAGATAGAGCTCTACTTCTTGTTCTCCAGACAGATTTTGAAGCTGCAGAGAGACCTGAAGACTGATTGCCGTGGTCTCATTTGGTCTGCATACTTTGACCATTTTTGTCGTATTTTCTCGACTGTTTTACGTAGCCTTCCGCTGATGGATTCTCAGTCAAGAACTCTGACCCGCACGTTTGGACGTCCGCAGTCGACGCGCGTACTGGAATTCGGACTCCGAAAAGACAAGGAACCCGCCAAAGAGTTCCCCCCCGCGCCCGTCCCCTCGCCGCCCTCAAAGGCCGCCACGTGTCGTGCTGACGTCACCAAGGACATCCTATACGTGTACCGAAACGTGTTGGACCGTCACAGGGCGACGCTGGGGGGAAAGGGTTCTGAGACTGCTCGCGCGATTGAAACGGCCAGGCGGGTGGTTCTCGATACGCGGTACTTTGTCAAAGATTACAGGTAAGGGGTCTGCAAACCCGGGTTTGCCGTTTCAATGTTTTGGGTTCCCTTTGAAGTAGGTCAATAGACTGCGATAAGGTCAAGTGTTTGCCTAAAGGGGACTGGTCTGCAGGAAGGGTCGTTGCTAAAAAGTTCGTTCTATGCATCCACTTAGATTCGCCCCTTAGGCTCCAGTTTTGGGGCAAAGCTTGCTTACCGAAACTCTTCGTCCGCGCTGGGCTTGTGATACGACGGCGTCCGACCTTCATCCGATCTTCGTGTCTTTCGTCGTTCCGCTGCTCGCGCCAGTGCTGCGCATTCCGCTGACCAATCCGCTGCCCGTTCCGCTGAGCATCCCGCTGCTCGTTCCGCTGCTCTTCAAGGGGAGCACTCTCGCCGCTTGCTTCAGTGCTGTATTTTGCTTGATCGTTCCGCTGCCCTTCCAGAAAGAGAAATTCCCGCCGCTCCAACCGATGCAGCTCATTCCGCCGGCCATTCCGCTGATCCTTTCCGCTGCTCGTTCCGTTGCTTTCCAGGGGAGAGCACACCCGGCGGGACAGCGACGCTGGGCGTGCGCAATCTGCGGACGACGAGTTGCTGCGAGTTATGGTCCAAGTGAAGACGTCCGACGTTCCGGCGCACGGTTCCGGCCACCACCCGCCGCCGGAACTGGTCGTGCTGCCGAAGAACGGAACGGTTGCGAGGCTGAAGGTGGGTTCTTCTCAGTCTCTTCTGTTCGTCGTTTCTTGTCTCTAAGCCTTATATGCGGCATCCAGCCAGGATTGTCTACGACAAGAATTCCAAAGATTGTTACGAGAATTCAGAAATGGTTACTTCGTCCAGCGCCTCGTATCAACAAAATCCCCGGTTAAGCGGAGTTCTAACTCCAAGTTCCTTCCCCCTCTCCAGGTGGCCGCGCGCAAAGCTTTCAGCGACACGTATCTTATGATGCGCGACTTCACCGTGACTGACGTCACCATCCCGTCATTCGAAGACCTGGAGGATGACGACACGCTTGCGGACCTGGTCGAGCAGGGCGCGCTCATCACCGTCATGGGGCCGGGTAAGCTGACGTCACTGGGACCTTAACTTTGTTTCTTTTGTTCTACTCTACTTGATTGGTCTGTCATGTATTTGACATTAAACATGACGTTTCCTTTGTTCCCCGCTGATTTTCTTTTCGTCCCTTGCTGAATGAGCATCTGTTCCCGTCATCCCTCTGCTCGGGCTCCGGATGCTGACGTCACCTTGTCGTCTTTCTTTTCCTCATATTCTTCTCCCTAATCAAATGCGTTTTTATGTCACTTACAGAACTGTAAGTCTGCTAACGTCAGCTTATAATGTTGCCGAATCCGCTTTTGCAAAGACATGCGTCTTTCAGCTTTGAGAGAACTTCCAGGCTGACAGCAAAATTGAGAGCCCGGAGTTTGACGTCATCGTGGCGTCATTTCCAGGCATTGATTACGGCTGCCCGGAGCGGTACGAGGGCGGCATCGAGCAGTGGTTCGTGGACTGCTCGTGCGGGGCACGTGACGACGACGGAGAGCGTATGGTCTCCTGCGATAAGTGCGACGTCTGGCAGCATACGCGATGCAACCGGATAGGGGATAGGGAGCACGTGCCCAGCACGTTCCTGTGCAGCCGGTGCAGGGCGGAAGCGGAGCCGGCGGAAGATGGGTTCGGCTGGGCGTGAACGGAACGGAACTGAAAATATTTAGAAGGGGTTTTAGCTGGAAAACTCCAAAAAGCTGATGGAATGGATCGGGGATGATGGCGGGGGGAAATAAGAGGGGCTCTGTGGACGAAAGTCTTTTCCAGCAACTTGTTGGAAAAGCCGGAGAAGTCGATCGGGCTAATATTGTCTTATATGCGTTGTGGGCAAGAGGCTCGATTGGTATTATCGGGGAAAGCGCGTGTTGATATGGAAGAAAAATGGGTTGGGTTTAACAGCGTGTTGAGGAGGGGAGCAATTGGGTTGCGTCTAACGTCAGACGGCCGAGGATGTTCCACTCGGGCGAAAACATTGCAAGTAACTGATTTGGCGTCCTGCGAACCGGGGCTTTGAAGGAGTGCTTTTGAAGCCTTGGGATTGGCGGCGGGGGCCTTTGCTGCTTACCTTTGGTGAATAACAGCGCAGCGGGAAAGCTGTACTTCTTACCTAGATTGTCATCACCCGATGCTTCGGAAAGTGAGCGGTCGTTGTGGTAAAGACACGTGTGCGGGCTCGCACGTGTGTCTCTTGTGAATAGTCTGATAAGATAAGGTGTGAAACCGCCCTCCAGATACTCAGTCACGCAGCATTAAACCAGTCATGTGTGCCACGTTCGCTTCCGGTAAGGCCGTATAGGTTGTGTCTCACAACTTCCAGTCAGAGGCCGAACGAAGTGAAACGTTTTTATTTGCGTGGGGTGGGCTAGCTAAAGCTAGCCAAAAAGACCATTGATTAAATTCATCTGTGAGTTAAGTAGATCGGCATGGACTTCCTGCCAAAAGACAAACGTTTGTTCACATTAGTGACAACGATAGGCTGAGCACGCTTCTATAAATCACTAAATACAGGTACGTCCAGGTCGACCCGAAGCTCGTTAACTGATTCGTCGCACTACTTCCTCTATCTTGCCATGACTGTCAGAGCGATTCGCTTCACCGCGTCGGACGTACGTGACCTTCGATTAAGGCAGGATAAAAGATTTCATTTGCATCGCGCATACGGTGAAGGTACGTGCTGATCGAGACACATTCAGTGCACATGCATCTACACCGTTTCTTTCCATGCCAAGAATCCTGCTAATGCATATGACAAGCACTTAGTGTATTGCCGCCGTGTATCATATGTGTCCAATAATTCAGCCTACTATAAGTTACACTCGCGGCATGCTTTTGGCCCGATCGTTGCAGCCTTCGGAGCCTGATAAGTTACCGCTTGCCAGCTCGAACCCTGTCTCGAGTCCGTGATATTAAGCTTAAGCTAGTTGACAAGCTGCACGTAGATAGAAGCGCGCACGCGTATTAACTGATAGCTTAGTAGGCCCGGCCGAGCGGCCGCAAATTAATTAACGAGAGGCCTTCATGTTTGCTGAGTACACATCACGCGAGTCCCACGTTATCGCTAGGCTTTTACAAGTTGCGTGCATGCATGAGGATTTTGGCAACACGCACATGACCATGCGACGGTCCGATCCATCAAAATTGGCATAATATATGTGTGTAACTTTTTCCGCATTGCCAAGAGTACCGTCCAAACAACTCGGCCCTTGACGTACTGGCCCTCATGATATGACGTCAAGACAGCTCGCAAGCTAGTGCTAGCGATTTAGAATGTGATTTATCAGGTCAATAACGTTCAAAATCGTCATAATGCCGACCAGTATCTGCAGTACGGTTCGACACTAACTGACGTGCATTACGGCTTCTCCGATGATCGCATACTGCAGGCGCACCCTGTTTTGTTACTGTGACAGCATGGTGAAGCACCGTGCGTAACATACACGATCATGCAAGCAGCCAATGAAAACTCAGTGAGCCATCAGGTCTTCCCGCCAATTCGTGGACAAATCCGCGTGGATTTAGGGCGGATTCCTTACGAGTCCCTGGAAAGAAGACCTCTCTTTGCCAGAACGCTACACATTACCGCTTCTGACTAGCAAACGACCTCAACATTGGAAAGGTAGTACGTACTCTCCTATTCGCTTTTCATACGGCTTTTCATCAAAAGAAATCCGCAGAGTAGCTGGACTCCCATACTATGATAGTTCTCAAAGCACCTCGACCCTTCTGTCCGTCCGACCAGAAACGAAAGGTCGGTGTGCATGTACCCCCAGAGTGGAGGCGGGAAAGCCGAGCCGCTTGCAGCGGCTTCCGATGGTTTCCAAGTGTCGCCGGAAAAGGTCAATCATCGCGAGCGCAGCTAGATCGTCCGCAGCGGAACCTGCGGCGAATCCTGGCGGGTTCAGGGGCTGACGATTGATAGCAATAGCCAAAGAAAAGCTTCTTTCAAGAAGTGAGAACTCTCAAGTGCTTTATTGAAACGCCTAAGTTTGCTCAAAGTTAGAGCCGGAGAAATAGAAAACTGACGGTGCGAGCCCAGCGTTGGCCTCGCACTTGCTCAAAGGTAGAAGAAGCATTCAATTTAAGGCCGAATTTGTATTAAAGCAGGTTTCAAATCCCTCTTCACTGGAGGGTGTTCGTGTCGCTGAAAGAATCTTGACAACCACAGCCGGCAACCAACCAACCTCGATGCTTTTTCAGTGATCAAATGTTGACGGGGAAACATCGAGTGCGCCGGTCCAACCATTTTCGACGATGAAACGTCTCACACGTTTCCGGAACAGCTCGGAAATGGAGGATGTGCACACGGAGGGATGATCGATACAAAGCCCAGAATCATAGAAGCCCAGATCCGCACACAAGGAGAGAAACGAGAAGGGCAGTAGGAGCCATTGTTTTGCTGTCTGCTCGTCCAACGTTGCCGGCTCTCAGCAATCGTTCAAACTTCCGTCCTTTCGATGCATTTCGCATGGTTCATGAAAGTCTTGGCAGCCTAGCTCACGATGCACCGTCAACCACTTCGCGGGCGGCCGCGGCTCCCGCACTGGTGGCTCCACGTCGCCGTACGCGCGCGCGCTCGCTTCCTCGCCCGCATACACACCCGCAGGCGCGGCCGCGGTGGCTGGCGCGTTCGCGCGCGCGCGGTCCAGGAGCCCAACTGGCTCCGAACTCAGGCCCAAGGACGTCGTTCCCTCCCACAGAAGGCCCCGTTCTTCGTCGAACTCGACCTGCGTACCCTTGTTGTTCAGAGTGCCCACTTGGACCGCGATACTGGACGAGGCCTTCTTTTCTGGGATCACCGGCAGACATCCCCCAATCTCCAAACCTGTCGACAAACCGCTTAGATTGTGCCCGGTTTGGGGGCCCCGGCCACAGTTTCTGCACGCGTCTTTACTTGCGAACAAGATGTTCCCAAAACCTTCGGTTTCCGTTGTAATACCGGGCGTCGTTCCGTTCCTTTCCCCCTCTTCCGTTTCGGCCCCTGTAAAATCCGTTCCCCTCGACTCGCTTCCGCCATACTGCGCTCCGTCTTGTTCAACTCTCTCCCTTTCCGCTCTGTCCCACCCACTCCCTTTTGTCACTAGTCGGCCCAGGTGATTCCTCTCGCCAGCCCATCTTTCCGTTCCGTTAACCCGCGCTTCCGTTCTCTTTTCCCACGGCGGATCGCTTTCAAGCACCCTTTTGACGCTCGGCGTTCCCTCGTCTTCCTCGTCCACGTCAGCAACTTCGTCAGCAATCTCTTCGAAATCCTCATCGTACTCGGTAACCTTCCGAGCATCTCCCAGGGCCCCAGTGCGGGACGACCCTTGCGTCCAAGTTCCCTCCGCCTCTAGTTCGCCAGACGTACGTCTCGTCCAATTTTCGTTCATCTCTACTTCGCCGGACGTCGGTTCCGCTCGAAAAGAAATTTCCTCTGTGGACCCCACGTAAGTTGATTTTGCCGGAAACCGTCTTGAAGCGGACCCTTCCGCTTCTTCCGGGGTATTCTCATACCCACTCCCGCTTTCCGACTCTTTAGATGGCTCCTCTATGACTCCCTCCAGCGAAGTCGCTTCTACGTCATCCAACTGATCCAACAGATAGGAGGCCAGCATGATCCGCTGGCCGCCCGCCGAGAAACTCAAGACCGGTCCTCTCTCCGCTGATTGAGATCGATTTACCGCAGCTCTAGTTTCGACCTTGTTTCCGACTGATCCCGTTTGAAAAGTGGCTGGTTCTGAAGCACGGGACAGTGGCCCCTTGCTCGTATGCCCATCCGCCGAATGTTCCTCAAAATCTGAAAGCTCATCTGCGCTTTTGCTCTCCCAAGAATGATTCAATTCTCGCCTCAGGCTTCCCTCACTCGATTGTTTCCCAGCATTCCCCCACTGTCGTGACCCCGTTGCCCCGCTTTCCCCCCCTCCGTTGGTAGACACAAAGTGCCCCCCTGAAACAAATCTCGTGCTCCGACCTTCGTTCACCCCCGTCTTTTCAACCGTCTTTTCTTCCCCCCCCTCGCCCAATTGGCTCTCCTGGTCGCTGTCCGCCATTTTGACGTAATGCTGACGAGGCGTCACCTCTCGGTCGCTCTCGCCTTCGTCAGCGAACAGGCGCAAGGGTGACACGTGTCGCAACCCCGTGCCGCCAGATGGCCCTTGCAGCAATGGACGCCCGCCGTCTGACGGCTTCCAGTCGCCTGGGCCAGAACCACTTTCCATGCGCTCTTTGGAGGGCTCCGAGAGGCTGACGTCAGTCTCGCCTGTACCGCCGTAAGACGCGCTGGTGCTGACGTCAGCCGCCTCAAGCTCCAAGCTGTCCGCGAGCATGATCCGCTCCTTCGAAGACTTCAACTCGACGTCTGGCCCGCTGCTCCTTTTCACCCCCTTGAAAACTGGAGCAGAAACGTCCCCTCGTTTTTGCCGAGGCGGTGTTGCGGAGTCCCTTGAATTCCACATTGCTGACGACTCTTTCCGCATGTCTCCAGTTGGACTGACGTCCGACTCACCCGCTTTCTTTCTTCGGTCTCGGACCCACGCTGTTTCCGCTCCTCCAATTGCCTTTTCTCGAGTGGCCCCATTCCAATTATCCGTTGCTCCAAGCATCTCCTTTCCACCTTCTTGCTCTTCCCTTCCAAAATTCAAAAACTTCCTCGGAGATTTCCTCTCCCCAAAAAGATCCCCCCCACTTCTTTCAGACTGCCTCGATTGGCTGGACCGCCCTTCATAGACCTCTGGAGACCCTCCCACGTTTCCAAAGTCCAGCTTTCGCCGGGCCTCGTTCAGTTCCTCCTCGCTCGACGGTTCTCTCAACCCCACGTTCTGCATGTCGACGTCGCTCGCCACAGGGCCTCCCGCAAAGTCGTCACCGCTGACGTCACCCAGCTCGTCCGCCATCATGATCTTCAGCCCGAGCCTCGACCCGGCAGCTTGGATGCTGTCCCTCATGACGTCACTCCCCCCAGCTCCACGATCAGCGACTCTTGTCGACGCTTCCTTTGCCGCTGCTCTCTCCGCAAACTCCGCTAGGGGGTCCCTCCTGCCGTGCGAATCACCCCCCAAACCGTTCTTTTTTGCGTCAAGCGTCCTAACGGGTCGGCCCCGCTTTCTCGCACTGTTCATCGGTTCCTCCGGAGGTTTGGGCGCAAACCCAGATGCTGACCCATACCTGTGATTCGCTTTCGAGCTTTCGGTGGGGGAGTCGGTGCCGGCATGCGACACCCCCGAAAGTGTAGACATCGGCGAAGAACCGTTTCCGTCTTCATAAGCCAAGTCCTTCAACCGTGGACTGGAAGCGGGATCAAATCCTCTCCTGACATCTTCCAAGTTGCGGCCCCGCTTTGTCTGGGGTCTCCTCTGGGTTGGTCGTTGCGCATAAAGCTGAGGCCAAATAGGTTCTGCTGCAAGGGGGTTTGCAGGGGCAGTGGCATCGTCATGGTGGCGGAAGGTAGACCTTGTCGTCTTATCAGAAGGGCCAGGAATCTTGTACCTGACAAGAAGATTGGGAAGAACAGGTTTAAATGCGATCAAATTTGTGCACGTACCGAGTAGAAGGATGGAATGCACATATTAATTGGAAGGATGGAGAGCTTGTCTGCCGTGCGTCGAATTTAATCGAAAGGCTGCATCGGTTGACACGTAAGTGGAAATACAAATTGGACCCAAGGTCCAGATGTTAAGCTAAACGTGAAGCCACTTGATAACTGGAAAAGGACGGGTAAGAAGACTTTTGGACTGCAGGACATGAAATGCTTAAAGCGCAAGAACATTGTAAACACGGATATTCTCTTTGAGCTTCTCAGAAACCAACCTGGAGAGGAGGGTCTGCGCTCGCTTGGCCGCCTGGGCGCTCCGGTACGCACTGCTTGAATATGCTTCCGCTCGCGCGTCGTCGGCACCGTGACCTGGGACCCAGCTCCGGTTCATCCTTTCCACGTCCTTTCCGTCCCGTCCTATCTTTAGGTGGACATTGTATGCGGTGTTCAGTGGCTACCTCTCACAGTATGTACTTCTCTCATCGTTCTAAAGCAGGGCTCAAATGTTGGAGCTCACTGAATCTTCAAGATCCGTGAGCTCACTCGGTCAGAATATGGTGACAACATATAAAACACTGCCAGAGTGTGCAATGTGGGGGACTCCGCTCAGCTGGCATTGATATTGGACGGCCTTCAATTTGGGACAACTAGCGCCAAGATGACAACGCTCGATCTCAGTCACAGGCAGTACCTGCATGCGCCAACATTCGCGGACTCTGCCTGCCGGGCAATGAGTGGTTGGAGACAAAGAGACTAGGAGCTCGAAGCCAGCATAGGTGTAGATGTCTAGTTTGTTCTGCAATGTGCAGGAATGCGGATACTGGTTTGTTTAGCTCAGGCTTAGTTAAGTCAGTGCCGGTGCGTGGCCAGTGCTCCGCTCGTCTATGCTGCTGAGCACTTTAGCTAGCGCATTGAGCTGTTCGCGATGCAAGAACCCGGAGATACTCCTGACCGAGTTAAGTAGGGAAGAGCGAATTAGAGCTTTCAGAATTCAGACTGAGATAGTATGGTCGGCCGAGCAGGAAACCGTCGAATCCGGAAATGCACGTCGGCGTTTTTGATATGCAAGCGGTGCGGCCGCGCGGCGCCGGCCGCGGTTGCCTTATGCTGGCCCTCATGGAGCGCGCTTTGCGCGCTAGATCTCCCAGTTGCAAAATTTGCATGCAGATGCTGAGTCAGCTATGAATCTTGGCATTGGACGATGATAGACGCTCTGTTCTGCATTCAACGTTGAGGAATTGCAAGCCTGCAGCACCGAGAGTGCGGTGATCAAGAAGCTGATGGGGGATGTGCGCACCCTCGAGGAAGCGGACGAGGTGTGGAGTTGGGGCGCGGGGACAAGCGGGCAGCTAGGGAACGGAAAGTTGGATGATGAGCTGCTTCCAAAACGTGCACAACAACTAGATGAGGAGCAATTGAAGCAGATTGCGTGTGGTGGCAGCCATGCGGTGGGGGTCACTGGTGAGTGTGTTGATCGTTGATGGTCTCTGCGATAGCAAGTGCGGCCACAGACTTCTCATGGAATCAATGTAAGCTTGTTTGTCTTGTAAACCTTACCTCTGCATCTATGATCAGATGACCCTACCAGCTGTTGCCAGTACACCGCACTGACGCTACAACCTCCTATTGTGTCTGCTAACCAAAGAAACTTGTTGATTGCAAAGGTTGGGGGCTAGTCGAGAATGCCAACCATCTAGCTGGTTTCAGCAGGTTATTCAGCAAGTTCATCTGGATCTTTTTCAACCTTGACCTTACTCTGATGGTGGCATATTAGTTGTTCCAAGTTTATGTGCACAACGTCTAGTGCCGTGGTGCGTGGTTTTGGGCTTTCTAAGGGGATTCAAAGTGACACTGCTTTCAGTGAAGTTGGGGCGAACGTGTGACTTGGCAAGTATACCTTGAGGAGCTTTAGGTCCTTAATGAGACACAGTTCGAATGATCTTTCCATCCCACATATTCTGCGATGTCTTTGACAATCACAACCGTCGGTGTCTTTTCAAAGGGTCTACTCTTGAAATGCCTTTCCCCCCTCCCACTCTAAACCAACCTTTTGATCCCAAAATTCCACCTTTCTGCCAAAGTTTCAGAATTGGCACACGTAGTGGTGGCCTCGTTGAATGGCCAGCAACAACTCTAGTTTGAACTTTTGCCCAAATCCCCGTCTGCACAGATGATGGTAGGGTTTTCACATGGGGCTCAAACCCAGCAGAGGGGCCCAACACCTTCATCCCCGCAGCCCTTCCGCAACCTCTAGAAGCCCTCTCCGGTATCAAGATTGTCAAGGTTGCAGCAGGATGGGCTCACACTGCTTTGATAACAGGTGCGTAAGGTTACCCACTGAATGGATTGGTTGATGTGTAAGCATGAGAGGCCTTTGACATCACGTCAAGGTGGCCATTGAAAGATGTTTTTTGGGCCTGACGCTGTTGTAGAGCGTTTCGCTCAACCATGTTGCTGGCGCTGCAAACCAAACTCGGTTCCAAAGTAGATTCTGAGTATTTCACTAGAGTTGACAGAATTTTCATTTCTCATGCGCGTCTGATCCAAACAAAGGCAAAATCTTAGCCAATAAATGAGAAACAGAGCTAGGGCAACGGTTTAGTGTTTCCAGGATCTGCAACAGGCTACGTTTCTGCCTCTTGTTCTGGTCTGTTGCACTCTCCAGGTAGAAATTGACGAAGGCTGCTCAGAGTCTCTCCTGGTTGGCTATAAAGGAGAAGAGAGTTATACACGTCGTAGAGAGGACAATCCGTGGCATAAGTATAATATCTTCAATCCCTACAATAGCCAAGTCAAAAGGATTCTGAGATCCTCTATTGACCCAGCCTAAACCTTAAAAACAAAACCAGTCTCCTGCGGTCCTTCTTTTCTCAGAGATTGAGCTTCCTATACTTTAGTCGAGACCATAAACCAAACCTTAAGTACCGTCGTTGTTTTTCTCCTGCCCGATGCAGATGATGGCAAGGTGCTAACATATGGCGAAGGCCAGTACGGCCAACTAGGCTTGGGAACAAGAAGCTCCGTTGTGGCGCCTTCTGTGGTCGAGGCATTGGCGAGTGTTCGAGCGGTGGATGTCGCCTGTGGCCTGAGGCACACGCTAGTACTCGTTGAAGGTGAGCAGTGACAGAGTACTTTCTCCGTTATCCAAAATGTTGGAGGAAGGGTCTCCTGGTTTGTATATTAGTGCGTTTCCTGATCATCAACAGCTTACTCAAATTGCGCTAGCACGTTTTCTGACCGTGCTGACTTGAAACGCATTTGCACGCGAACAAGTGTTCTAACCACGAGGTCTGAAGAAGCTCAGCTGTTATGCCCAGCTCCCTCAATCTGGTCTCACAAAATGATTGATTGAAACCACGAGTGTCTCGAAATTTCTGTTCTGAATCCTGTGGCTACTTCTAGAGAGCTTCTGGAGTCCTGTATCTGTTTTCGATCTGTCTTCACACTTTGCTTGCTTGTGTGCCAAGAAACTTGATCCAGCATCCGCGCTAATCGCTTGTGCTTGCCACAACCTCAAGAAGAACTGGAGCTGAACTAGCTACACAAAGCAGAACTAATCTCCGAAGCAAAACCCGACTTGTCAATTGTCAGACCAAAATGTAGCAGTCACTTAGAGGCTGTGCTTCCTCGATTAGGTCTGAGTATGTACACCGCTTGGAGTTCGTCCACCCCTCCACCTTTGAGCGAAGAAATGGAAATTTCGTCCTTTATCCGCGTTATGCGACACGTCTACCCCTCTTTCTGAAGTAAACTGACGCTAACAATGAAGAAGTTTGTCACCTTCCACAGATGCAAGCGGGACCTTCTGCGGTTGCACATTCGGAGCCGGGAAGCGCGGCCAGCTCGGCGTTTACCCCCCTGATCTAGTTTTCTCGGACAAGCTGCCGCTAAGAGCTAAGATTAAAAAGGGTTCTCAATTTTCAGATGCAAGCGGGACCTCCTGCGTCCGCGCATTTGGAGCTGGGAAGCGCGGCCAGCTCGGCGTTTCCTCCCCCACTCTAGTTGCAACGAGGCCGGTAACGGTCGACGGCCTCAACGGGGTGCAAGTGCGTGCGGTATCGGCGGCAGGAGACCACAGCGCTGCACTGACGGGTATGTGGCATCGAAATACTCTTTTTGATTGATGTTTCGTTCAACGAAACACTGCAAACACGGAAACGGCAGCTGGTGATTCAGAGACGTCACAACAGGATGCAGCAGAACGGACCGCACTTATCTTTCTGATGTGTCTTTTTGTTTTACCGACTCGTTACCTTACTTAACTTCAAGCGTCCAAAGGGTTGACACTTTGGGGCGTGTGCTTATCCGCTTCTGGCCCTTTCTGGACGGAAGTGTGGCCAAGGGCGCTCTGACGCGTCTGTCGTGTCTGGAGGATCTCGCGTGTCCAAATTTCAGACCACTAGAACCGATCTCAGAAGACGCCAATACAAAATAGGTGGACTTACGTTCGGACTTCGACTCATGCAGTGAACGGCGACCTCATGGCGTGGGGTCGCGGCTACCTGGACGCCCCAGACATGCACGTGCCCATCCGCATTGGACGAGGCAAGAAGTGGAGCCACATGGCACTCGGGTGGAGCCATGGCCTCGCTTTGGCAGGTGAGGAGTAATTCTTGAGGTGCAAATGGGTTTTTGAAGATGCCTCTTATCGTGTTTTTGATACGGTGGTGGATGTTGCTCATAATCAGATCTGCACTGCTATAGTGCGATGAATGGGGCAGGAGATAATGGGCAATCTTGAGAAGCTCATGTCCGTTAGAATCAGTCGTCCGACATTTTTTTCGTGCACTTTTAACGGTCTTTTAGAAGCGGCAAGCGGCTGCGATACGGATCGTGAGGACATCACCTCTTGCACGGCGTCCCCTTCTGTTCAACTTTTGTGATTTTTATGACTATTTGCCCCTCTGTACCCTGTCGTTATGCTGCTCCTGCGGCGTCCTCAGATCAGCGCTCTCTTTCAAACACCATCTTTCTTGCTGTCGGCTACTCGAAAGACGGGAGCCGTCTTGGTGATTGCACGATACTCTTCTTGTTTGTCTGACGCAATCCATTGTTGGTGGATCGAACCCGCTTGCACTGGACTCGTAATTAAGCGCATCGCCTGCTTGCATTATGACTGCAACCTCAAGCGAGTAATCAACCGGCCACAAAGTTGAAACCGTATCTTGCACCTAATCGCAGACGAGGGTGGCCTCTGGGCTTGGGGAAGCAACCGGTATGGTCAACTGGGCACCGGAGCTTCTGCCCCGGGAACTCTCCCCAGTCCGAGCGCCCAGCTAGGAGTGCCCGGGGATCCATCCCCCGGGCTTAACAATAACCACAAAGTTGAGCGGGAGGTGAAAGGCGCGGAGTTGAAACAGATTCCGTTCTTCGTTGGGCGGAAAGTGACCGGAATCGCCGCTGGTGCGGAGCACTCGGCAGCGGTGACTGGTGAGTAGCAAGCGGTTGAGCGCCCTCTTTAAGGAATGATTCCTTTGGCTAATGCAGCTTTTCGGTGTCGACTTTCGGCTGATGCGGCGCAAGTCTGTTGGGAAGGCATTGGCTCCGCATCCGACGGTCGGACCGGAGCCAAATCAAGTTGCAAGCATGTCGTTCCATTCTCGGTTGAAACCGCACAAGCGTTTGGAGGTCTGCTTTTCAAGCACGTGGTGATTATGTAGTGGTAGCTCCCCCAACTGGCTGTCGAACCGGTTTCAAACCCTAAACAAGCATCCGTCAATAGCGCTCAACTAATCTGGTTTGCCCCTTACTGAAGGACTTCCAACCCGTCTCATCCAGTTGTTAAGGTTCTCTAGCCTTGTTCATTAGAATCTCACTATGTCTCAACAACTTATCGGCTCCTTTCCCTTTGCCGAGATTCAGGACCTTGTTTTGTTTATGGGCGCAGATTCCGGGGAGGTATTCACATGGGGCTGGGCCGAGCACGGACAGTTGGGCTTGGGAGATACACAAGACCGAGACACGCCCCAGCTTCTGGCGGTGGGATTAAGCCCCAGCCAGACCAGGACGAGCGCCCAAGTGTACTGTGGGAGCGGATTCACATTTGTGGTGCTTCGACACAGGTGGGCGGTCAAACCGATGACTTCAAGAAGGGGTAAATGCTTTTCGTGTGCTTTGAAGAGGTGAAGGCGATGGTGTTAGGTCGATCTGGATTCTGGACGAACTAATGATTATCTGATCGATTGTTCCTCTCGAAAGGTATTCTTTCTAGACCTTTGCACAACGGCAAGGGCTGAGACTCCTTGCAAATGATGAAGGTTCGCAGTACCTGCAGCGAGTGCTCTTGTGAGATACGTCCTTATTTCCTGGTTAAGCATGGCCGCGTCACGGACGTGTATTAATAGGAGAAATAGAGTTGAAGCGTCTGTAGAAAGAATTGCTCGACGAAACGGCCTAGCTTCTTGAACGCCACAAAGCAAAGTGGAGTCCGGCCGCTAGGTCCTTTTCGCAAAGCTTTGCGGCATTGCTGACGTCAGCGACCCCGCTTCGTTCGGGGTGACTTCCGTGCTGACCTAAGCGCCGTCTCTTTACAGGCAGGAAAGCGAAGAGGCCGCTGACGTCGCAGTCAGGACCGGCTGACGTGGTTGACGGAGTTCCCGGATGATGCTGAAGAGCTGGAAATGAAAGGTAAGTAAGCGATCGCCCCTGTCTGCAAGCTTCGAGACCCCAATTGGGTGGTCCGCAGGGCTCTAACTAGTCCTAGACATTGAGAAAAGCGTAGATTAAGTTCACGACCAATTGGCACCTCCAGGAACCGGAGTGTGCAGATAGTCAATGCTATGCTCCTTCAAAGAAAATCAATGCAGTCTGGACTGTACCTCCAATGCTTGATCAGAAGGACTGATATCGCACAGTGCGTCACACCTGGCCGTTTGACCATCTTTCTGCTTGGTTATCTCAGGATCTGAGCCCTTCATGAGCCATCGGACGGTTCAGGACTTGTGGATCGGCATCGTTGGTCTTGGTCGAAGCGGCGAGATCTGGTAAAAAGGGCGACAAGGTGCGGCCTGAGCTGTGAGGAACTTTGCTGATCCCGGCGACGAAAACAGCGAGGTAAGATTTGCAGAGTTTAGCCTCTTTTGACTTCTCATCTTGGACAAAAGGCTACTACTACTTGGGTTTGCGTTAGACCTGATACTGGTTGAAAGGTTGGTTCTGCACTAAAACACGTCATCGAACCGTCAATCTTGTCAAGAAGCAAGTCTGGGCAATACCATAGTGTCGAGCGGTAGCCGATAAACGCAAACCCCAAGCAAACCAAGCAAACCATCAAAGGTCGAGACTTCAGCTTTGCATTGACGTCCACAAGCGCAGGGGTGCCTTTTTGCCTCCAATTCTGAGTCCCCCTTTATTGTCAATGTCAGGCTTGCACAACCACATCCTTCTCGTAGGGCGAAATCTGCGGTCTTGATTTTTGATGTAAAGCAAATGCAAGGAAGAGCGACAACGCAAAAGGAAGCAAGGGAAAGCAAGTGTTGAAGTTTTCGTTAGAGGTTCCAAGGTTTTGAAGTAGGACCGGGTTTTAAGAGACATATATTTAGGGCCTTGTACATAATAACCCGAAGGTCCACGCTTGCTGAGAGCCTGCGCTTCTGGAGATGGTCCAAAAATACTCCGTTGGATACCCCCACTGAGCTACAACACGGACTTCAGCTGAGGTTGGACGGCCGACTCGCATAAACCTGCGCTTGAAGGTGGCTGTGAAGTACGATGTGTTAGTTGTGTGCCATGTCAATGCATGAGTCATGCAATATCGCCTCCCTCATGTGCAACTTGCTGAATCAATCACACTGAGCTCTTCAGCGGCTGAAACAACTAGATCTTCCAAATACTCTCATAGCCATATCTGGTGTGTGGTACGTCATCTTAGACTTAGCCTATGTATATCTTAGTCGGCACCTGGGCGGTTTCTAATCTCTAGGCCCTTCTTGAGTACTGAAATAATACGTACGTGATGATCCAGATTGATCTTTGCAGCTTTGTCTCGTATCATCGTCCAATGTTGAAGCCAGACAGCTACCAAAATGGCGAGTCCCGTTGGTCGAGTGGTACAGTGCTCGACCTTCTCGCGGTGACATCACCGTGATGACTGTAACGTTGCCCACGCGTACATATCTACAAAAGGACAAGCTAGCGTTTGATCCTTGTTCTCGTCAACACGATCGCCTTCGTGCCGTTTGCATGGTGGGTGAGCAGGGGGAGGACCATCAACTTGGTCTAAGTTTGCAAAGAGCGGACCCGGTGAGGACCCGGTGTCTCCAGCTGACGAGCCCAGTGTGCTCAGACGGTTCCCAAGTTTAGACAGCTCTACCAAATTGTCAAAATGGCAGGCTTGGCATGATCCTCCCATATGTGAACACCATGCTTCATCCTCAAACACCGTCCACGAATCCGGTCAGGTCATTCATGACGGTTTTGCACGGTTGTAACTTAAGACCAACCAAGGTCCCGCATGGCAATGCCAACATGACCGACCCTAGGCATTGCAGGCTGTCTAATACTAACTTGGGACTAACGTACGTACCGTGTGTCTCACTATATTGCAGTCACTCATCATTGCTGGGCTAGTTGACCAAACATGCAAATGAGCGGGGTTGAAAAGGTACGCGTTTAGTCATTTAGTAGTAGCCCCCTAGTAGCGGGTATATCGAGCTCTTGCTACGTCGTCGGAAAGCTGTCATGCGGGCTACTTAGTACTAGCCCTACAATGGCAATATCAATATACAAAGCGATTTGTTGGCCAAGCCAACTCAATGTCAAGTAGTGAGTGCCACAGCACCTCAAATGTCAATGATACCTCAATGATACGACCGAAAGCGGCGGCCATGAAGAGATCCCCACGCCGGGCCCCCCCACGGCCTACGAAACTTGACATCGCCAATGGCCTCGCACCTAGTGTGCTCTGTACTGCTCGTGCGGCTCTATGATGGATAGCCATGCAGTCTGACTGCGCGCTGCCTGTGATATCGAAGCAGTCGTGATGCCTCATCTCCAATCTGACTCTCATCACCATGCATTGCTCTCAAAGCCGCAACGCGCTGTGCAGAGACTGCCAGTGGCATTGAACCAAGTTAGCTGGCCGGGCCCGCCGTGCTGGCCGCGCAAGACACGACCGTATATTCCGGGGGCCCCCGCCGCTGGCCCCCTCAGCCTGCCTGATTGGCTAAATTTGAAGGCAATGATGGGTTTGTCAACGTGTCCATTCAATGTCCGGCCGATAGCCGACTGCAGATTGGTTTTGGAAGCTGCGTCACTATTACGTCAGAGTCGCGGTCAGATAGGCCGGAATTGGCGGATGCAGCCGGGCCGGGTCAGCCCAAGCAAACCTGATTTGCATGTACTGAAAACTTCAACCATTGGATCAAGACACCGCCGTCTGGTCCTGGTCTGGAGAACCCTCGATTGGTTCAAAATGGTTCATTGAACCAGACTTGAGTTAAAGCTTAAACCCGGCAGCCGACTTTGTAGGTTGGAGTTTGTTTTAACTACCAACCGTGCAGTACGAACAATACGGATCCGACAGTATCCGACGGTACGGATTACGGTATTCCGTGTCGAACCCTAGAATCGCACGCATGATCGGCGCTCCCCCAGTGCGCTTGCCCGTCAACGCCGACCTACCGAAGAACGCGGACAAGGAAATCCAGCCTCTTATAGAAAGTAACCACACACAGTACGGGGCGCTGAACCTAAGAAACGGGAACACGTGGTCTGGGTACTTGTCTCTTGACGTTAACCACATTGGCGGGCGCTCTGACTGAGGCGATTTGTTTGGGGCGCTTGTGTCTTGCTTCCGAGTTCAGCTTCAGGCTTGATGGCAAGTCTGGGTCTGTTCGGGGGCACGCATATTGCGCATCCGTTTCTTTATCCTCAAGTTCAGTTGCTGTCAGATCAGAGCTTCCAACAGAGTGCAGATGCTTTGCTCCTGGCCGGGCGCGCCAGGAGATAATGGATTATCAAGATTAGATGTCTGCATGAAAGGAGGAGAACGCAGCCCCCGCGGAGCCGGATCATGAAGGCGTTCTCTTCGGTCAGCGCTGAAAACGCCCCCCTCTTGGGCGCTCTGCTAGAGCAAGTCAGCTGACCAGCTAGCAAGCTTAGAGTCTGACAGGACCTCAGCGCCCCTACTCTTCCAACTCTTATGGCCACTGCCAAGATCACGCCCTTGATTCAGGGCAACTCAGACTGCTACCTGAGGGCGATGGAAAGAGATAAGCTAGTAGCGCAGGAGAGAGACTTTCGGCTCTGTCCTTGGCTCCACTATTTTAGCGACCCTGCTTTGCAGTTGGTCTTCACTTTCAAAGCTCACAGTTCTCCAGCACCACCAAAGTGAAGGGACGCCCCTTCAGCTCATTCTCTCAGCTCACTTCTCCTCCTCAGCTCGCCGGCATTGCCAAAGGCGACAAGTGTTGACAACCTTTCAGCCGCAACAGCTTTCAGGGCAGCTCAAGTGCTCTTCTCAGCTCTTCTTTCTGCACGCGTATACAAACCACGGGTCCCGCCAAGCGACAAGGAGGGATGGGGGGTCTTCGCACCGTCCGTTCCCAGACCGCCGTCGACATGGACGGCTTTCCTGCCTTCTCGGGGGAGATCAAAGGGGGGGGTTCCGTGCTCGTTTTTGCGATTACGACCGCCTCAAAAGCTGCCAAGCGGTTAGACCGGCTGCACTTTCACGGCCTGCCAAAGCTCCGGAAGAACATCAGCCTTGGGAAGTTGTTAGCACAGCTGGCGGGAAGTGCGCTGAGCAACACGGTGTGGAGCATTCGGACGGTGCGCACGATCCTGGCGTTCGCGCTGCTGGTCATCCTCATGCGGCAGACATGTGAGTGGACTTGCAATTCTTCATCTGCTGAGCTGTCCAGCAACTGAGAGGGCTGAGGTTCGGTGCGGTTGCCTCATTAGTGTTCCTGAGAGCGCAGTGCATGGAAGGGTGTTGGTTTTGGAGCACAGACAAGCCTGAGGTGTGCCTGTACACCAGTAGTAAATGAGCGCGAATGAGCTTTAGCTGACACAGCAAATCTGTCACATCACCTGATGCCAACGCAAGCCTCCAGTGCTCTTCTCACACTTGTCTTGCATGGCAAACCCAACCTCTGTAGCCTAGTTTACCCTGCACTTGATAACTCTCTCTGACCCTGCTTTGAACCATCCTCTGCAGTTGCACCGAACGCAGGCGGCAGAGGAGTCTCCCAGAGGAACCTCGATTGGATGGCCGACTTTGGTCCCCGCATCGACGCAGGCTACTTCTGCAGCAGACACGAGGCCAACCAGTCCCTCGTCATTAGCAGCCCCCAGCACTTGAAACGGTCCCTTGCCCCGTCTGCCGGTCTCTTCCTTTCCCCGCCTCCCCCTAACAAAGCTCACCTTGAGTCCCCCCCGCCGACGCTTTCCTGGTTTGGACTGAGGCCGAGCACGTGGACTGGGGAGAGCTCTCCTATTGAGATGCTGCCAGTGGACTGTGAGGGGAGTGCGCCAGACAAGTTTTACTGCTGCTCGGTGAGTGTACTAAGCTTCGGCATGTTGGTCTGAGCTCTGTGATTGCCAGTCTTGAATCCCTGAAGCTTAAATCCAGTCAGAACTTGTCTTGCTAGACAAGTTGACTGCATCTGCTGCTTGACCCGGAACAGGATGTAACGTGCTTCTGGCTAATGGCCTCTGATTGACAAGTCTGGGATTTCAGCCTTCGTTTACAGGACAGCAACAGATAGAGGAAGGAAGGAAAGTAGGACTTGATATTGTCTATGGCTATTCCCCATGCCCTCACTATGGACAACTTGGACCCTGGCTGACCGTCTCAATCTCTCCCTTTCAGGAGGTGCGCAAGCTGATGGGAGCTCTGAGGGGCGCTGGAGTGACGTCAGCTGGGGGCCTGACACAGTGCATGTCCCAAGTGAAATCGATGCTGGCAGGCCACGTGACGATCGACACGCTGGGGTATTGCGGAGTTGACGTCAACGAGTACGTCAGCCCGAGCCGGGTGGAGCATGTGCTGACAATGCTGCGGCCAGAGGCCTATGGACACGTGAGTTGCTTCCCATACTTCTGCGTTATCCTGGTCTTTGGTCGGTCGGAGTTCTTAACTGTCTGGTGATTAAACTTGCTGTGCATGCTTGCTTCTCAGATCGAGGTCATTGACGAATCAATGAGGCTAGAGATGCCTTCGAAAACCCTTGAACTGCTCGTACGACTGTCCTGTCCTTGTAGAAAAGTTCGTTTCAACTAAAGCTGGAAGTAGTGTGCTGCCCCTGATGCCTTCATGCAGAATATGGGATCGATGCTAACCGGACTCCTTTTTCCTTGCAGGAACCCATTGCACTGAAGGATGATCAGTTCACGTTGCCCGACCGGGTGGTCCAAAAGGCGCAAAGCTCAGGGCTGAGGAGCAGGCGGTTGACTCTGGGTGCGTCTCGGTGACCCTAGTGCTGCGGCAACTCGTTGATCCTTATAAAAGGTTTCGTCCGTGTTGAAAGCGCCTTCACTACGAGGTTGCACGAGGTTATTTGTACCATAACATTGAATTGAGAGTAAAGCTAGCAGTGAAATCAGCTCGGAGTCTAACCACAATCGTCGTGGTAATGACGAGTTAACAAGAGCGGGTTAAGTGTTGTGGTGGGCTTCCAGTGGCAACTACAAACTGGAGGCTTGCTTTAGGTTAACCACTGGAAGCAAGCAAGCAAGTTACATGTTCGAGCAACGCAAACACAGGTCCACATTCGTGAAGAGCTCAAATGCCTTCGCATAAAACTAGGACTGACATATGGCACGAAGTGAAGAGAAGCTCATTGGTGCGGTAGGTCCTGTTCTCGATCTCATCAAGTCACAGAGATATGCACGGTGCATGACCCGTCATGACAAGTGATTTCTGGTGATGCCGTCACTCCCGCAGCCCATGTATGTGTATATCCACAAGTCTTCCGATATTTTCACTGAGCGTGACATATGTGAATACATTTGATGCCAGTTCCGAATGCACATCGCACCATTCAGATTTTGGCAGCCCTTGTCCTTGACTAGTATTCTGTGCAGTGGGCCCAAGCGACCGAGAAATCGTCGTAGCCGGTCTATTTGACACGACATATCATCTGGTATACGCATTGCAAAGGTTCGATTGCGAAAGTACATCCCTTTGTGCGCGGATGTGCTAGTATTCAACTCCTTCGGTGGCTCGGTGCATGATCAATGCCACTCTGCGGTTTGTACCTGTGAAGGTAGTACAGCGCGTGTTCAGCCTTGAAGTATTAATGGAACACTGATTTACTCCAGATCATCCGGAAGATATATTCGAGGATTCGAAGTATAGAATCTAGCTGGTAAATGTATGAGCTTCGGCTGGCCGAAGCCTTCTACCTAGTAAATGGGACACATCCACGTCTAGCTCGCCAGGCGCTCGCCGGGCGGCCCAAGAACAATCAGAACAATGACGTTAGCCCAGCTTGTCATGCGCAGCTTATTTTCTTGCACACCATGCTAAGTTCGTAACGAATTGATCATGAAGAACGATGTTTTCCACTCAATCGCACATGACGTGGGAATCCACCTGCCAACCAGTGCCAAGCCGATGTGAATGAAGCCGGCCCGGGGTGTTGCGGAACATGATGTGAGTCGAGCGGTATCCTCGGCAGCTCTCGGCAAATATGCTAGTGACCGTACTTTTGTTCAACAAGTTTCGACAGCGTTCGCTGGTCGCAACACTTGTCGCAAAGCCAAGATGAGTCAAATTGCACTTGACTTGCATTCATTTGCAGTTGCAGCTCTAAAAGTTCGCCATTCCGCTTTGCAAAAAAATTCTGCTCGTTCTTCCCTCGTTCTTCAATCGGACGATCGGACGAATTGGCTGGTTTGAGTCCCGGTTGAGTCGCCCACCATTGAATTCTAACCGTCCATATATGCAACGAGGGGATGCGAGCCGTCCGATAGTACTCATAGTACTTTCAGTGAGTCTGGCAACTCTAGCTCGACAGCTTTCACTAACTTATAGGCACCCGGGGGACGGGTGGGGTTAGTTTGGGGGTTAGGGTCGGTACCGGTGCGGAGCGGGTCATGTTTTAGGTTAGAGTTTTTAGTTGAGGTGCCCGGGGCTCCTGTATCCTTGTGAAAGCTCCGGTTAGTGAAAGCACCTGACCTGAAGCTCCAAGCAATCTGGGCCGTTCGGTCAGGGCGTTGAAAGTGACGGTGTGAAAGGAGACACGCTCTCTCCGCAGGTGAAGTTTCGACGCTTTTGAGCGAGCGGATAGAAACTTGAAAGCGTGCAAGCCAACTGGTGTTTCTGAAGCAGCAAAGGGAAAGGCAGAAGTCTAAGCAAAAGCGCAGAGCCTTTCCTTGGCAGCTTTTACGTGCCACAGTACTAGTAGTATTTATCAGCGCTTGGCCTACTCAGGTTTGTCCTCAGGTTTGCCCAATAGTACGGGGCTTTCTTTGTTGGTTGCGTGATCCCGGTGGTGAAGCTGACTCAGTACCTTTTGTCGGGTGGGCTACTAGAAATCTACAACTACAAAACCTGCTGTTTCTGTTTCCTCAGCAGAGTGCCTCTGTTGCTCCTGGTGTGGGGTAGCCAAAATGCAGGCTGCAGCGCTAAACCGTGTCCTGCCAAGTGGCGCCCTCACAGCCGCTGGCAAGGATCACGTCCAAGGGCGGGCCGTTCAGCAGCATCTGGAGGCACACAGGAGCCATGTGCTATGTGGGAAGTCGTTTTTGGGAGGGCGCAGGCTGGTCTGTGAGTCAAAGAGGGCAGCGCTTCAACGGAGGACTTTCAAGAGGTTGCAGGTAAAGCAAAGCGGATGTTGAGAGTCCAGACTGCATTGCTCGAAGGGTTTGGATTGTTTTCTTTGCTGGTTCATAGCCACAATGGTGCAAGACGAGGGTTTGCTTGTCCAGCTAGTATCTCTTGAGGGCTTGGAATGATCTTAAGCTTCTCACGATTTGTTTGTCTGAATCCATTCGTGTGACAAGTGGTGTTGCACCTTTTTGCATCTGAAAGGCCGCTTGGTGCAGACTCTCATATATATCAGCGCTTGTTTTTGAACGGGGCGGTTCGTCAAAGCAGGAAGTGTGTTAGGTTGAGCCAGCGAGTCAATACGTATGTAGTCTGTATCGGAAATAGATAGCAAGCTTGAGTTCTGACACTGAATTTGTGCTGGATAGCTGCTTGGGCCAGTGGGCATCGTTGCGGGAATGCTTGTACAGGTCTGTAAGGAAGGGTTCCCCTTCATTGATGTTCGAGGTTCTGACTGATTTGAAGACCTTTTTGATAGTTTTAGGGTTCTGCGGTAGGGTTCCAGTAGAATGACTCAAATTCTTTGTGCGTAGTGTAGTCTGCGGGGTTGAAGCAACATCTGGATCGTGTGAAGCGCACCGTATGCTCATTTTCAACGACTACTGATGACCAGAGAGGCTGACGGTTAAATGCACTCTTTTTCTGGCTGCTACATCCTCCTTCGAAGATGTCCCACTGCTGACGTGCTTCTTATGAAGCACTTGGGCTAATGACGAACTTAGATTTCACTCAAAGCTCATCGAAAGTTCTCTTCTTCTGCCTCAAGTTGTGAGTGAAAGATGTGGCCACATTGCGTTGTCTCATGATTTGACTCTGGGATGTCTACGCGTTGTCGCTGCAGACTCCTTATTCCAGCCTTATTCGCCTATCTTTCAGCTTCAAAGCATACATTCTTTATTGATCAACTTCACAGCCAGCTTCATAATCTCCACCCGTGGAGATGAGGACTCTGCTGCTGACTAGCTTTTTAGCTTTGGGCCAGTGGTTTCATCCTCGCCACACGGGGGTTCTTTGTTAACCATCTTCTCACCGACCGATTTGCACCTTGTTCCCTACAGTCAAACCCTTGCAAGTTCTACCTCCTATTTTTTCAATACCTCTTTCTTTCATCTAAGTACATGTGACGCCGCCCGCGCTCTCACTCATATGCTGATATTGGGTACCATCTGTTTCCCCCCCCAGGTTGTAGCAGCAGACTTCCCGCGTCCCGCCATTGATGGCACTCCAAACTTCCTCGACGCCGCGCAGCTTTCCGCCAGGCTACGGGAAGCCCCCCGGCCCAAGAGGCCGCTAAAGATTGTGATTGCGGGAGCGGGGTTGGCCGGGCTCTCGACCGCAAAGTATCTTTCGGACGCGGGACATCATCCGATTCTGCTAGAGTCGAGGGACGTGTTGGGGGGAAAGGTTGCGGCGTGGAAGGACAAGGATGGGGACTGGTACGAGACGGGGCTGCACATATTCTGTGAGTAACTTGGAAACCCCGCGAGTTGACCATCTGGCGTCATGTGAGACCGCGCTGTTTGATTCGAAGAAACGTGTTACCTCTTTTGATTCGAAGAAAGGTGTTACCTCCATAAAGCCCTTCTGCATTCGACATCCCCAGGTTGATTCGGAAACACTTCAGTTGATCAAAAAACACTTCAGTCGGTTTGATGAACTTGTGAATATCAGCTTTATGGCTGGGTAAGCAACCCTGTTAGAACGCATGGAAGGAGAACGTGGACTCCAGTTTTCATTTCTGGACCCCCACAGCGGTCTGGTTATACTCCGGGTCACCGGGTCACTGGGCCAGCGGGTTCGGCACCTGGGTACATGGTACCAGGTCTGTAGACATACATTCGAGCGCTCGGTGAAAGTTGAGCAGGTCGGTCGAGAGCGGACTTGAAGTTACGCTACCATGGGTTACGCTAGATCACGCGCGTGGCAAGCCCTAGCCTTCGTCCGCTCGCGCGCTTACCAACACAGTACCAACCGGTGTGGGGTTCTCGGACTGCAAACTGCAGTCCGCGTTCTCCTTCCATCCGTTCTGTTACCAAAATCCATTGTTGGTCTGAGACATGTTTCCCTGTTGCTCATTGCAGTCGGCGCGTACCCCAATATGCAGAACCTGTTTGGCGAGTTGGGGATCAACGACCGCCTTCAATGGAAGGAGCACAGCATGATCTTTGCCATGCCCAACAAACCCGGCGAGTTCAGCCGCTTCGACTTCCCCGATATCCTCCCCGCGCCTTTCAATGGTGGGTTTCTTGAACATCATTTACGCGCTCGTTTTGCCCCTCTGTTCGCTTCTACTTGCCCTTCGGTGGCGTGGAGTATGTACGTCCCTTCTGTCCCGTTTGGTGGCGGTCTTTCTTTCGATTTTGCAGGCTGGTAGAATGTCTTGCCATGCTTTAGGTGGCCCCACTTCTCACTGGAGGAGGTGTGAACTTACAACTTCACCTGGTTTAGTGGACCTTTGTGTTTTCGGGATATCAAAAATCTGTGTCAAACAGTGCCTGGTGTTCCAGACTGGGTCTTTGAGCAACCTGACGGTCAAACAAAAATCAAGCAAAAGGAGATCCTTGAAAGGACGCCGTAATGTGGGCCGCCTGATCTTTTCCTGCAAGCCTCGCAGTTTTGAGGCACTTTAAAGGACAACTACATTCTGTTGGTGGCTACAAGAGATCAACTCCGAGATCTAAAGCACCTGAAATCTGCTTTCTGTCCCAGGCGTGTGGGCCATCCTGAAGAACAACCAGATGCTGTCGTGGCCTGAGAAGGTCCAGTTTGCGCTAGGCTTGTTGCCGGCGATGGTGGGCGGACAGAAGTACGTCGAGGAGCAGGACTCGTTGACCGTGTCGGATTGGCTCAAGAAACAGGTGAGAGCCGATTTGAACAACTCGCAGACAACATTGCAATAGGAAAACGCTCGATTTGGACTGAACAAATCTCCTGACAGGCAAGGTTTAGGGTACAGTCTGTCCGGCTTGATTGATAAATGGCCGCCCTTGCTGCTTGATTCTTTGAGTACGTGAAGATGTGCGAGGCACGTACTTCGTTTTGGCTTCTTTAAGAGTCATGAGAGCAGATTTTCCCAGTTGCAGTCCAAGTTGATTATCTGTAAACTAGAACTCGATGCCAGAGGGATGTTCAAAGCTGCAGAGGCGATCTGATGGCTAAGCAAAAGTTGCAAATGTAACCAAACTGACCTGGGGTCTTGGAGCTGAACGTTTTTAATCGTTTTTGGTGTGTAGAAAATTCCGAAGCGGATTGAGGTGGAGATTCTGGGCGCCATGTCAAAGGCGCTCAACTTCATCGACCCCGACAAGCTGTCCATGCAGTGCGTGCTCATCGCGCTCAATAGGTTCCTCCAGGTGAGAGTCATAGGCTTCGGTCTTGAGCTGGAAGCTTCAGCACTGTTTCTTGGCTTTTGAGTTGCACTTCCGAAGGTCTAATGCTACCCAGCCATCCACTACCCGACTGTGCCAGACGTTCCTGCTTCTCAATCCCCTACCCCCACGGAAGTTCTCTTAAACGTCCCCCCGGTTCGCTTTCTTGAAGAAGACAAGCTGCAGATCTCAATCCTCTACCCCCACGAAAGTTCTGTCTAAACGTCCCCCGGGTTCGCCTTGTTGAAGAAGACAAGCCGCAGATGATTGTATCACTCTTCCTTATCAGATTCGAAGCCCCTCCTGAAGAACAGCTCAGATCTTCCCTCCTTCTGCATCCAATCTAGCCCCTCCTTGGGTTTAAAGGGAAAGGGCGGGACGACGCCCCCCCGGAATGGTTGTGCCAAATAACAGGTTCCGGCCGCTCTTTTTTCGAAAACCTCTGAAAACGCCCCTCTTTCTCGCAGGAAACACACGGGTCCAAGATGGCCTTCTTGGACGGCGCTCCCCCCGAGCGGTTGTGCCAGCCAATCGTAGAGTACTTTTCTGCCAAGGGGGGCGAGGTGCGGCTCAACTCGCGGTTGAAGGAGATTGTGTTGAACGACGACGGCACCGTCAAGCACTTTGCGCTGGCCAACGGGCAGGAGGTCACGGGGGACCTCTACGTGTCCGCCATGCCCGGTGAGTAAACCATGAGGCTTTGAAAGTGGTTAGCGTGCAGGGTTTCCTTGACTGTAAGCGGATGGTGTTCTTGGCACAGTTGAGCACTTGGCGAAACCGGAGTTCACGGGGGATCTCTACGCGTCCGCCATGCCCGGTGAGTGCAAGGGATTCCAATTTCGTGTTCCGCTACGCGGGCTCTTCGAGCTTGAGTATAGTTCTTTTGATTAGCGGCATCTTTGGCACCTTCACAACAAAACGGAGGTCATGGGGGACCAGTATGTGTCCGCCGTGCCCGGTGAGTGGACTCTTGAAATCTTAATTTGACATCACGCAGGGTCATCTTGCATCTCAGTTGACTGATTCTGAAATTGGAATTGGTCTAGGTATTGGGAGAAGTCGAATGGGCCAGATATCACGGGGTGCTTTATGCCTCTGCGGTGCGCGGTGTTGCATTCTGTGGTGTCGGTAGCTGTCCGTATCTAGGGTCTATCTTATTTGGAGCGCAAGCGTTCTGGATTAAATTGGGCTCCTTGGCATTGTCAATACCCGGAGCTGGTTGATACGCAAGACGTCATGAGGGGCGTCAGCATGACGCACTGCTGGTAGGTCTGCTGAACTTTCAGTCGTTTTGAGGTCTGAATTGCAAGAGGAGTGGGTTTTTCGAAAATCGGGGTTGAGGGCTTCTTAAAGCTTTGCGCTGACCGAGTGGTTAGGGACGCATCCATGAGCGAATCCCATCGAGACAGACGGTATGTGCTTGGAGAGGGAATATCCTCGTAACCACTGGATCACAGCCATACTTTAGGTGCGGTTGACCATGCGACGAGAGTGTAATCTATCATGAAGTACGGCTGTCGAGCATTGACTCCGCCTCTTCTTGTGCAGTTGATATCCTGAAGCTGTTGCTACCCGAAAAGTGGAAGCCGATGCCCTACTTTAAGAAGCTCGACAAATTGGTCGGTGTTCCCGTTATCAACGTACACATTTGGTGAGAGTTCCAAACTGCCCTTGAATCCCAGCTGCTCACCGCCTGCATCGTCTCTGTTCAGCCATTATCTAAGAATATGCAAAAGAGGATTTTTGCTCTTTCCATCTGGTTTGGGTTGTTAGGGGACGGCGTGGGCTACCGGAGGCCCCTTGAAGATGGTACGAAGTTTTGGGCAGTCGCAATGTAAGATACTGTGCGATGGAGTCAGCTTTACCGGGTTGTGCACTCCATAGGTTCCTTCTGAGTCTCATTGCCAACTCTGAAGGGCTAACACTCTTACACCCATACTCCGTACTGATATGCAGCTAGATGTCACAGGATTTCCCAACGACTGTTTTATATTTGTTTGCAGGTTCGATAGAAAGCTCAAGAACACCTACGACCACCTCCTTTTCAGTCGGAGTCCTCTACTGAGCGTCTATGCCGATATGTCAACTACATGCAAGGTGCGTCGCCGCTTGCCTGATCGTTTCCGTCACCTTCTTACTTGTTGCCAAATTGAGCGAGCGACCTTGCGATAAGCTTAGAACGCCAACTTTTACCGACCTCAAAGCGGATGCCTTTCTCAAGAGGCCGTACGAGATACAGGATATCTGGAAAGTCGAGACAATCAACGGGCTCTGTCTGAGAACGAGTATCCCAGATTGATGCTGCCATGGTTCTGCGGGATTACGAGGACCCGAACGACTCGAAAATGGAAAAGGTGTTTGCGCACCTTACATTTCTGAACTTCAAGACAAATACCAGGGACTTAAAAATAGTGGTAAGAAGAACTTGCCGATCCGTTTGTCATCCTCGAGTAGGAAAGAATTGGAGAAGTGAAATTATGTGGAACGTGAGAGTATGCGGAACAGTTCTCTTGAAAATTTGCTCTCGTTGCGCAGGAGTATGAGGACCCCAACAAGTCGATGTTGGAGCTGGTGTTCGCTCCCGCCAAGGAGTGGATTAGCCGGTCGGACCAGGACATCATTGACGCGACGATGGGCGAGCTCGCGAAACTGTTTCCCGACGAGATCGCCGCGGATGGGAGCAAGGCGAAGATCCTGAAGTACCACGTCGTGAAAACCCCTAGGTGAGCGCTTCTTGTCATCCTGTACTGTTATCACAGACGTCGAATGTATTAGTTGGCTCCTCAACAATGCGTCAGAATCCAAGAACTTAGCTGCGGAAAGCTTTGGTGCCACGTTTTTAGGGTCCCTAGGCGAGGGTTTTGCATATGCCAGGCCTCGGAGAGGCATGCGTTACTTGATGATGCGATGCCGCAGTCAATTGCGGTGGAACTTGCCTCCTCTGGCGTCCAGCAATTCGAGCTTTAATAGCTTCGCTTCTACTGTCTGGTCTTGATGATCAAGCGGAGTGCAGGGGCATCGATCCGTCGGTACTCGATCATTGTAGAGGAATCAAGAGGTGTCATGAAAGCAAGGTTAAAACCTTTCGAGCGACGCTGCAGTCACTCCGGTGTTTCAGTCTTCCTGAGCTGTTTGCCTCCAGAGCCGACGGCGAGCGTTTGCTTCGAAGACTGCAACCCTGATTTGCCTCAAAGTCTCGAAAGTGCCGGTTTTATTCTTCCCTAAGCCGTTTGCTACGGAGGGATTCCTCCGGCTCTAGAATCTCAAACGCGCTTGTTTTTCCCAGGAGCGTTTACGAGACGGTGCCTGACTGTGAGCCGTGCCGGCCGCTCCAAAAGTCGCCCATTGAGCGGTTCTACCTGGCGGGAGACTACACCAAGCAAAAGTACCTGGCATCGATGGAGGGCGCCGTCTTCTCTGGGAAGCTCTGCTCAGAGGCTATCGTAAAGGTGCGTTGTAGCCTGCTTAGGAGAGACAATATTGTTTTCAAGCCCGCCGTCCCATGCCCGTTTGGCGCTTTTCGAAGATGATGCTTCACATGGCCGTCCCATGCAACTGAAAACTGGGTGCTCTGCGACCCCTAAAGGAGGCGAAACGCTTTCTCGAGACGCGTGTTTGCGAGTAGTGTTGTCATCTTCTTTTTGTCGTCCTTTGCTTCTTCGAGTATGCTGTTGTGCTGGAATAGCACGGATCCGAAAACTTGTGCTGACGAGATTGCAGCCGGAACTTCCGCTCTCCGAGTGCTGGTTTAGCAGAAAGGCCAGATTAGGTTGTGCCTTGCATAAGGATCTGTGCCGCATGTCAATAGGTTCTCCAGTCGCCCGTCCGTTCTATGGTATGCTTTCCGCAAAAGCAGCGCGAAAGCTGACTTTATAACATTCTTGCTTGCAGGATTGGAACGAGAAGTCGCTCGAAGAGTTGCCCGAGGCGGAGCCCGATTTGGTCCCTGCGTCAGTGGCTTAGTTGAAAGCCCTTCTTCAGAATTGAGTTCGAATCTTGGATCAGGGTTGACATTCGATTGTCAAGTGTTGCCGAAGTCCCGTCATTCTTTCATTTGAAGGTATAGCTAGTACGAACATTCTTAGGTCATGTGGGTTGCCGGACTGCACTAGCGGTGCCTATGCAGGAGTAGGGCAAGCCGTCTGGATCTTTGCAACTTAGCTTACAATCTGAACTCGCGCATGGTACCTAGTTGGAACTCAGAAAACATTTGGTATAAGGACTGTGATGAACCTACTGATCGGAATTTCCACCATCAGGGTCTTGTGCCCTTCACATGAGTCGGCCGAAATATCAAGGAAAAGCTTTTTGGAGTTGGCATTGCCGGGACACGTTGGGTCATCAAGCATATACCATGTCCGCATGGTCTCGGCATGTGAACTTCAATATCTTCAATATCATTGAATTGCCAGAACGGACGGGTCTTCCTTAAGCATCATCCATGCATTAGTGGCTTGCTATGCACGGCATGTGCAATTAATTCTAGTACGGTATGTGACCACCGGGCGCTTGGTATGCAGACATGATGACAGCTGTGTGCCTTAATTCTACTAGGCACATGCGTGCTACAGCAGAGCTAGAAACCATTGGATACTAACGACCATCCATCGAGTGATCACGTCCTTGCACTGGCTGTTGTACCATCGTCTTCGACCAATACGACCCCCTCATCCGTCTCAATTGCCCTCCCTATCTTCATGAGACCACCTACCGCCTTTTTGAAACCGGATTTTGTCAATTGCAATTTGGCAGCAATCTCTTGCGGCGGGGATTTGCTATTTAGGGGAATGAAACCGCCATAGATGATGAGCTGTTCTTCTAGGTATGCCTTGTCGGCTTCATACTGCGCGGCTCCGAACGCCCGTAAGGAGACGTCCACCTGACAGGAAATGCATACAGCTTTCAGATATCACGATAAACGATTCAAGGTTCTGAAGAGCGTTCTGATCGAGCGGCTCAGACCGGCTCCAAGCAGACTTGAACGGTTGAAGAAGGAGGAGGAAAGTACGATTGACTTTGTAAATGATAGGCAGTAAAGGCGCCGGGAGGGATGGACTCAATTGTCATTGAGAAGACCTGGGTTCTTGGGCCCGACTCAACTCGAAGATCCGCTTCGAATCCAAGCAATCTGGGTAGAAATTGGAGGCTTTGAACGAAAAAACCCACTTAACCCAATGCCTCTGGTAGTCAAGAGAGACACAAGCTTCATTAACCTGTATGTATATTGCCCGGCCCAAACGCAGAACTCTGACTCAAGCAGCAAACTTCAAGAGAGCAGGATAGGTAGCACAAGAACAACCTGCCATACCTTCGATGTACACATTTGCACGATTCCTCACATGCTGAATGTTGAACGCATGACTGGCACCCCTCAAACCCTCAAAGGTCAAGTTGCCCCATACCGACCGCTTGACAGTGTTCTTCACACATTTTGAGCATAGCATCGACTCTCCTATGCCATGCACGGTCTGTAGTGATTCAAGCCGCCTCAATCAGTCCCACCCGTTCCCTCGACTCCTTCTGAAGGACTCAGTGTGCTCCTTGAAAGAAAGTACGAAGAATACGAAACCATTACGAAGAATCCGAAGCTATTCCAAACAATCCAAAGGCAAAAGATCAACCCGAAGTTTCTCACCTTGTCGTCGTCCCTGATCTTGAACACCCACCCCTTCATCACGTCCCCAATCTCGATCCTGTCCCTTCCGTACAGTTCCATCTGGTCCTTATACACAAGCCCGTCGTATCCCCCCCGGATAATCACTCTCATCCCCAGGGGGGTAAATTGGTACACCTTGAAGTCTATTTGCTGCCCCCACTCCAGATCCCTTGAAGCTGACGGCCCCTCATTTCCAACGTCCTCCCCCTCTAGTCCGCTACTTTGTCTCCTTAAGCCGCCAAAAACTTGCTGGGGGATTTCACCCCGCGGTTCCCCCTTCACCCACGGCTGCCGGTCCTGCTCGGTGTGAATGCGCCCCGGACGCTTATACTCCTTTTTGATCACGTCCTTCTTCCGCTCGGTTATCCCCCGGGTTTCAGAAACCTGACTCCGTAATCCCGGCACACGGTCCCGTACCCCATATTTCCGCTCGCTCGTATCCAAACGCTCTTCGCCTACAACAGATGCACTTTGGGAAACCTCCTCTCGAACCCCGAAAACTTTCCGCCGCACTTCATCTCCACTCTCCGACACTTTTTCTTCTCTCCTCGTGTAATCAAAATCGCTTTCGGGTTTGGTTTTGTCGATACTGAACCGCCGGCTTCTTTGCACTGGTTCCCGGACAGGATATAGGTCGTCAGCCTCGAGCCGGTCGTCCTCCGCATATGACGGTGGCTGCTTGGGCTTCCAAACCTGGCAAAAAAAGTAGGCAAAAGAGTCCGCTAAGACTTGTTTCTTACTTTTTAGGAAGCCAAAAGCTGGCAATCCAAAATAGAGAAGAGCATCACAGGTATTTAATGGCTTTGTCACACCACTTGGCAAAGGTTCGCCCACTCGACAACAACAGTCTATGTTCGATGATTGGCAACAGGCCGAAAGCAAGATCCCGTTCGCAGCGAAGACTTTGCTTAGACTTTGCTTAGAATAACCATATAATTGCCACAGAAGTTACCTGCAGCCCCAAAGGCAAGAAACTGCTCCTCACGTCCGCACCAATTAGTAAGAGCTCAGTAGGAAAAAGCGCACGATCGGCCAAAATGGGCGAGGAGGCAGGTGTGCCAAAGAGCGATTCAAGAGAAGTAGACAGGGCCCCATAGGCCTTTGATTGACAAGCACACCAGTTCTGGAAACCTAGTGAGCATGTGTGAAGTTCGACCAAATGGTGGTACATAGCAGGATCCCCGAATACGTCAGAGAATCAACCAAATCTACTTCACACGGTAGGTAGTGGACTTTAAGGGCGAAGCTTCTGGGAATCATGAATCTCAAACCCTAACCCTAAAATGGATCAGGGACTCCGTGCGGTGGTCTTTATAAAAAATGTAGTGCGCCTACTTACTTCCAAACCAAGAAACTGTTCTTCAGAATGAGCACCGGTTCATAAATTGCAGGAAACACAATGCAGCTCACCCTTTTTGTCTTGGTCCCCCATGTGCTTGGCTTTGAGAACTTTCCCCACCCCCTGAATGATTTTGATCCCCCCTCGCCGTCCTCAAACCCGCCTCTCCTGCTTGGACCACCTCTATCCATCTCATCATCAGATCCACCATCTTGGTAACGGTCTTGGTAACGGTCCGCCTGCACGCCCGCCCCTCCATACTCGTTTCTCGCTCTTTCTGAATATGAGGCCCTTGCGAGGGTTTGCACCCTTAGAGGCTCCCTGTGACGACCTAGTGGCTCAGGGACGCTGAATGTGCTTGAGCTTTGAGAAAATGACTGGCCATTTGACAAACCCTCGAGCGGCGAGGTATGCAACTGCCTGCAGAGCGAACACCTTCCGGCAAACCACAAGTGCCTCGAAAGCAGCCTCTGCGCAGACGCCATGGGGAGTGATTCACCAATCAAGCAATCTGCTCCTGCACCTCTCGGCCGTGTTGCCGGATGAAAACCTACGGTAAGCCACTGCTTTTCGCCCCAAACTTCGCCAGCTGCCAGTAATTCGAGTTCTGCTCAGCTGCCTGAGCGGAACAATTTCAAGTTTTGGCGGGACGCCTAGCCTGGACGTCTTTGCTGCTCGCAAATTTGCCCGTATCTTGGTACGCGTATAGCTAAATGTTGTCAGCAATTATCAATGGACATATGTCGTATGATGTGATGTACCGGGCAGCTTTTGGGAAACCAGTCAGGGTAGATCTGAGACATAAAGTTATTCAAGCATGTTCTAAGTTCTCGGAACCATCTACCGGGCTGGCCGAGATTGCTTCGGATGCGGCAGGAACAACCCGCGTATCGCGCTCTAGGCCGCAATATACGCCCACCCAATAGGTGGATGGCGACCAGTCACCACTCATCGACTGACTCTGACGAAGCTCTGCGGATCGCAATGTGGGCAAGTTGGATTGGCAGAGCTTCCGCCCAATTGAAACGCAGAACGTTGTTGACTTCATGACGATCTCCGAGTCTTGAAGATCATAACAAACGCTTTTGGAAAAGTCAAGCAGGATCCTCGTTGCCTTGAACAAGGAGCATCCGTCAGTTGCCGCGCCGATGGGGGCATGGGTGAAGAGCAGCAGCAGGAAATGAAGCTGTTTGTGATCAAAGAGGAACCAACATGACATGAAATTCTCGACGTGCAGTTCGTCACCATTCGATTGTCGTATGGCCAGACGAAAGCCAAGATTGGCCAGGTCAAACAAACCAAGAGAAACCTGGTCATGTCAGTTGCAATAGCGCGTTGGTGACACATCAGAAAAACGTCGAAGAACGAGGTTTTTCTTACGAGGTGCGATGTCATCGCCGAACAGAAGCCAGGCGCGGCGCAAGTCTGCGGGCTTGCTCAAACACCAGCTGCAGCTCATCAAGAGAAAGGGCGACCAGGGCACCACGCGCTACGAGATCCAGCCAATCCCAGATACACTCTCCTTCGAGAAGGGTTTCTTCTTGTTCATAAGGTCAGTTTGTTGCACTGCTGTCTGTTATGGTGAGGTGCACTTTGTTTGCTCTACGGTGTCACGCAAAGCAAAACCCTTTGTTATTTTCAAAGCATGACCAATCAGTCATCAGCATGAGATCACTCTTGACGAAAACATTACTTTCAGTGGTTCAGTTGTTTATGGGGGTGCTTAGGTGAACTTGGTATGGCAACGCCTTTCCATTCTCGGTTTTTCTGACTGCAAGTGGTGGTTTTGATCATGGTCACGGAAAGCAAGAAGACTAAGTTCCGAGCCTTTCTTTAACTACAATTTTGAGTCGAGCTCGCGTCGTATCGTCTGTCAACAAATAGAAACTCTTTGAAGTCCAAGTGTATCTCTGGTCTCTGCAGTTCCTTAACGAAAGTGTTTCTAGTGCTTGACAACCGAGTATGTGGGGCATCAGGTCAGCTACTTGGCATGTCATAATCCAGTCCATTTTGGGACAAGTGACCCAGGCCCTGTTGTGTCAGACGGCAGTAGCGAAAGTGGCAAACCCTTGCAATGTTTTGAAGCACTCTGACAAAGCTTCACAGAAGTATTGAATCATGGAAAATATAGAAGACTGCTCACGATGATGGTTTCTGTCGACCGTAAAGAAGGGAAAATCTGCAATGATTAAAGCGCTTTAGTCAAATCAACGCCTGTAACAGGAAGTTTTGAATCATGAAGAACGTATGAGAAGACTGCACGCAGTGGATACTTGGTGCTTCGGGTCTTGACTGTCCCTTTTCAGCCCTGCGTTACCTTCAATACATCTTGAAGCTAGACTCTCGTGTTGAGAAGCCCTTTTCGAAAGTCAGTTTGCCCTGTTACGTTGTAGTCCAAACGAATGCATCACCGGTCCATACATTGACAACTTTGTCATCCATCTAGGGACTTCAAATTTTGCATGAGCATCATCAAACCTTAGAAAGCACATGTTGATGCCTCCTTAATCATACTCATGAAGCGCATCAAGTCTCCTGAAGATCTTGGCCTCTTCGCAGCCGGCGCGCTGGTGGCAGAAGTGACTCGTTATTGAATCACCAGGTCTGAAAAGCTGTCTCCAGATCTCGCTTGTACACTAACCCTGTTGCCTAACCAGCTTGGGAACTAACTCTGTCAGTCAACCCAGCTTGCGACTTAACCCTGTCTCCTGACCCCCTTAGGGCGCTCCAGCTGTTGCGGGAGCACAATGACGGCGTCCTTTTGGTGGGGCTTGCGGGCCCCTCGGGCGCCGGTAAAACCGTGTTCAGCGAGAAAATCAGCAACTTCATGCCGGGATGCTCAGTGATCTCGATGGATAACTACAACGATGCGAGCCGATTGGTTGACGGCAACTTCGATGGTGAGTTTTTGTGACACCTACTCTGGTCACCTTCGGTCTGAACGGCTGAAGTGGTGTTCCCACCCAGTCAGCTTTCGTTTTGAACAACTGTAGTCGCTTTTCCGCCCAGTCAGCTTTTGTTCTGAACGACCGTAGTGGTTTTTCCGCCCTGAACGCTGGGTAGCGGGTAATCTCGATGAATGGAGTACAGCAATCGAGCTGTTCAGTTGCCTTGACGGTTCACTAGACATTCATCTCGTCGACTCGAACTCAGATATTGGAGACGGTTTGCTCAGGCATTACTGGTAGTGGATCAGAAACAGTCTCGTTGTTATGGAGGCCTGGCCTTGAATCTCGCTATTTTTGATTTAGAAACTAGTAACCTTATGCGAGGTGCGTCGTGCCTTGTCACTGATGTTTATGACAGCACGGGCTGTCTGGTCGGTAGAAAGATCAATGTGGGGTTGTTTGTTGTTGTTGCCCCCTTCACAAAGTGCGCCTGTTGTAAGGGATCTGGTGACCTCTTTCATTGCAGTAAGGGCCAGTATACGTTTGCCGGACTTTCCACTGTCCCGTACACTCGTTGTCTTCAACGTAAGGATAATCATGCTCTGCCGTCTGCCACGCAGAGCTCCATACACATGCTTTCTTCAATGTAAAGATACTCATGCTTCGCTTATTGCTTTGCAGATCCCCGGTTGACTGATTACACCACTTTGATGGACAATATCAAGAACTTACAGAACGGGCTGCCCGCCGAGGTCCCAATCTACGACTTCAAGCAGAGCAAAAGGATTGGCTTCAAGTGAGGAGTCGTCTTACTCTTTGGCTATCTTACAAATACACAATCAAAGATCGCGCCACCTTCTTGATTATTTGAGATCGGGCCTCCTGTCAGGGCCTTTAAGCTCCTCGACTGTCTCACCTGGGCTTCTCGGCTCTCTCCCTTCGTTGTTCGCCTCGACGGAGTGTCAATTTCCGAGAAAACCTTGCTGACGTGTCAGTCCGCCATGGCAGGACGGTGGAAGTCCCTTCCGCGCGCGTTGTCATCATTGAGGGCATTTATGCACTGTCCGAGAGGCTGCGCCCGATGCTCGACCTCGCCGTTTCCATCACCGGGGGGGTGCACTTCGATCTAGTTAAGCGGGTCTTGCGGGACATCAACCGCTCGGGACAGGTAAGTCAACTGCGCACCGTTGAACGGCCGGCTTTCTGAAATTAGCTTCTTGCTTTGTAAGCCGTCAAGCGCTCGGAACAGGTGAGCCGAGTGCGCACCGTCAAACAGCCAGCTTTCCGGAATTGGATAGGAAGTGCTTTTGACATCAGCTCTTTGTCATACGACGCCAAAGCGCCTTACGTCTTCCCTTCTCTCGTTGATTGTTTCGATCAGAGTGTCCAAAGGTCCGTTTGGGATCCTACTGAGACCATTCCAGATAGGTTGGGGCCTTTTGAAAGAGCTCTCGAAAGGGAGCAGCTCGACACGGCCAAAAGTGCCTCCGTGGCGGTCGGCTCCAAAGCTTCTGAAGGTGATTCGTGACAGTCCGTCTGGGGTCCGATTGTAATCCGAATTGGAAATTTCTCTTCGTTTGATTTGGGATTGCAGCTGAGTTAGGCAAAACGGTGTGACACGATCGGAGGCGTCCAATCGATGCACCTACTGATTCAACGACTGGGACACGAGGATCGCTTCAGAGACTTTGTTTCGTATGCAGGAATTGGAAGGACATTTTTGAGTCGAGGAGCGCAATCCTGAGCCGTATCTTGAGTACGTTGACAAACCAACGGTTGTAAAACAAGTTCAGCGTGGTCCAAATTGAGCGCAACCGTTTGCAGGAACCGGAGGACATCATCCATCAGATATCGGAGACGGTATACCCTATGTACAAGGCGTTCATCGAGCCGGACCTCCAGACAGCGCACATCCGCATCGTCAATAAGTTCAACCCGTTCTCCGGCTTTCAAAACGCGACGTACATTCTCAAGGTGGGGTGTCTGTGGGGGGCGTTTTGTAAACTGTCTAAAATGCGAGTTGCCTTTCAGCCGATTCAATTCTTCTCTCCATCGTTTTGCAGACTATAGAGAGTGCGATGCAATTTTCCTAATGTGCTTGATTGCGGTTGACACGATTGGCCTCCGTGGACTGAAAGTTAGTTACCAGCATCAATCGCCAACCTGCTTAGCAGCAATCATGTGCAGTCCGCCGGACTCGATCGAATCACATGCATTCTTTCTAGACCTCCGGAGTGTCTTCATTTCGTCTCCACAGTTCGATTTGTATCATCAGGTTTTCGCTGCTCGTTTCTTGGAGTGTAAGAAGTAACCTCTGTTCTTTCGGTCAAGTTAATCACTCATGGTCTCTCGTTGTCGGATTGCAGTCCCAGAAGACGGTGACCCCCTACCAAGTACAACACGAAAAACACCATCTTCGTTTCACTTGCCCGATACAAGCTCCAACTTTCTGAACCTTGAAACGAAATTTTCACGATCTTCGCCCTTTTGAATCCAGTCCCAGAAGACGGTGACCCCCGACCAGATCCGGGCGGTTCTCCCGCCCAATTGCACCGAGTACGTCGAGGAGACGTACGATATCTATCTCTTGCCCCCGGGGGAGGACGCCGAGAGCTGCCAGTCGTACCTGCGCATGCGCAACCGGGACGGCAAGTACAGCCTCATGTTCGAGGTAGGTCCCGTTCTCTGTAGGTCAATTGACTACTAATGAGATATTTTTTTGATGTGCTGGAATGTCCCTGCGCATGCGCAATCGGGACGGCAAGTAGAGTCTCATGTTTGAGGTGAGTGGCGTTCTTTATCGAAGCCACTTGAAAAAGCCAGGTTATTTTGAGTTCTGCTGGGTCGTACCTGCGCATGCGCAACCGGGACGGCAAGTACAGCCTCATGTTTGAGGTAGGTGGTGTTTGCCCCTCTGAGCTTGCGAAGGAGTATTTCCAGCTTGCTGGGTCAGGAACGTGACATGAGATTTGCCTGACCCAGTGCGCGCAGCACTTTACGTAGCTGATACTAAGTACATGTGTTCCGATAAATCGGCACCGAGTGCACAGCTTCCGTCGTAAAAAGCCAATGATTCTTTTCGCGTTTGCATCGATCGATTGTCTCTCACCAAAGCCTCACGATCTGCGAAAGTTTCTTTTTTGAGTGCCGCACCGACTTTCTTTTGGACGTCCGCAGGAGTGGGTGACGGACGGTCCGTTCATCATCTCCCCACGCATCACGTTCGAGGTCAGCGTCCGCATTTTGGGCGGGCTTATGGCGCTCGGATACGAGATGGGCGCGATCCTGCGACGTTCCAGCCAAGTGTTCCGGGACGAGACCATCGCCGTCAAAATCGACACCTTCGAGCAACTTCAGCGGGAATACGTCAACGTGAGTCAAAGGCACTCCTCGCTGTCTCGTTATCCATCTTGAGATGCTGTCTGAGTTGCTCTTTCGCAAAGCGTCCCAGTCTGACGGTGTCTTTGTTTCAGGAAGGCGCAAGGGCGCATCCGGACGTTGATAGAAGAGACTGGGGAAACGCTGGAGGTGGAAGGACTCTGCTTGTCGCTACGATCAAGCAAAGACAGCGGGGAATTCCCAGAATTGTTAACGGTTTCCTTTTCAGGTGCAAGGACGCGACCTCTAGTTGGACCGGAAAGGAACGTGCGTGCCGCGGTCGTGAATCGAGCACAGCGGCAAGCTTTCAGTAGTTGTCCGAAAAACGAACAAGCGAACACAAAGCACAACTCTTCGCCCTTTCAGGTGCAAGGGCGAGATTCGGCGTGAGTAGAAGAGATTGGCAAGAAGCTGGAGCTTGAGGGGACGTATGTACCTCTGTTGTATATCGAGCAGATGTAGTTGCAAACCCCAAGAAATCGTTTCATGAAGAATTGATACAAACACTCACACAACTTTTCGCCCGTCAGGTGTGCAAGGGCGCGATCGGGCGTTGGTAGAAGAGATTGGCTAGAAGCTGGAGCTCGAGGGGACGTCCGTGTCGTGTTCCAAGCAGTAAAATATTCGACGTACGTACCGCGGTCGTATGTCGAACAGATACAGCGGGAAACCGTCAGAAATGTTCTTGTCAGAACAAGAATCAATGAACACACAATCTTTTGCCCTTTCAGGTGCAAGGGCGCGACCGGGCGTTGGTAGAAGAAATTGGCAAGAAGCTGGACCTTTTAGGAACTTGTGTGTCGTGGTCGTACAACGAGCAAATACAGCGGCCATTTCTTGAAAATTATTCTTCAAAGAACAAAAGCAGTCAGATTACACGATTTTTTGCCCTTCCAGGTGCAGGGGCGCGACCGGGCGTTGGTAGAAGAGATTGGCAAGAAGCTGAACCTTTTAGGAACTTGTGTGTCGTGGTCATACATCGAGCAGATACAGCGAGAAACCCTTAAAAATCACTTTTCTAAAGAACAAAACCAATCAAAACTCTTGACTTTCCGCCCTTCCAGGTGCAAGGGCGCGACCGGGCGTTGGTAGAAGAGATTGGCAAGAAGCTGGAGCTGGAGGGGACGTACGTGCCGCGGTCGTACATTGAGCAAATGCAACTGGAGAAGCTCACCAAAGAGTTCCAGCTCGTTCCTGAGGACATCAAACAGAAGCTCGCATCCGAAGACGCATTGGTAGGTTAAATGTCTGTTCTCATTTGTGCTATTCGGTCATTTCTCGTGTAGTGGTCTTTGACTTTCTTGTCGTCTCTCCGTTTGTTAGTCGGGTTTCTTATCTTTTGTCATCTGCGGTTCCGCTTCTTCCCCACCTGGATTCAGGCAAAGACTTTGTCTTGCACTTCGCGCATCTGGGTCGGTTTACACACTCTTGGGCTTGTTTCCCTGTGACCATTGTCTTCTTATGTTTCATTTGAGATTACTTTCAGCTTCTTGGGATTGTCCACCTGGTATTCAAGGACATCGTGTAGAGTCTTGCACCTAAGGACTCGCTAGCGGGTCGCATCTTTTTTCCCTTACGTCACTACCTCCGGCTCTGATCCACTATTGCTGCGTTCGTTCCAATCCATCTTGTTTGTTGTTCCTGAGATCATTTCGTCCGTTGTTTCGCTTTCTCTCCGTTTGATTGCTTCGTTCTCTTCTATGATTACTTGATTGCGTTCTCTTGTCTAATGTTCTTTGTTTTCTTCTCAGATTGGTATTTATACTCCCTCCTCTTGATTCTCTGTACGTTTCTCGCTTCATCTCTCAGACTCCTCATATTTCTGCTCCGTGTTTTGCCTCCGCTCATATCTTCCTCCCTTCCTCGCGTCTTGCTTCAGACTGTCTCCACTTTTCACTGATCCTAGTGTGCCTCCCTATTGGCTGCCTCATTATTGATGTCATAAGCACCACACTCACGAAGCAAATTTGTGTCTTTGCCGCCTTCCTCCTATCTAAAGCCTTCGGCTCATTGGCACTAAGCCTCCCCTGCAAGCGAGTTTTATATGGAAAATGCGTGCTGACGTGTGCCTGCCACGTGTCCAGGTGGGCAGCGTCATCAGCAGCCCCAGCATGTCGTGGATTGCGGAGGCGCGGCTGAACCGTGACATCATGGGCCGGAGCGCGCCCGTCATGGCGCACCGCAACAACCGGTCGCCCACAAAGGCAGGCCAATGTGAGTGGCGTCAGTTAGCGTGATCAGTTTTGTAGGCGATTACGTGATTAGTAACTACACCACTTCCTCTTTCTCCTTGTTTGATGAAAAAGTAGAGGCGACCATGGACTTCGTAATCCCGGAGCTAAAGCGCATACTGTCCATCCGAATCCCGACATCCTTCTCATCCTCCTCATGCTGACTTCCTTCTTTTTCCAGTCCGCACAGAGAAGACTGGCCGGGACTGGCCCCCCCAGCTGCACCTGAACTCGTCCAAAGGCTGCCTAAAGACTTCAAAAGATGAAAACACTGATCCCCATAGTAAACCATAGACCTCCAAACCTTTCTCGTCTCCTTCTGCTGAACCCCCTCTCTTTTTTCCAGTCCGCACAGATAAGACTGGCCGGCACTGGCCCCCCCAGCTGCACCTCAACTCCTCCAACGGTAGTTTGGAGAACGTGGAGGAGGGCGGCCATAAGCGCAAGAACAGCGAGGACGAGTCGTCCCACAACCGGGGTGTGCCCGACTCGCCATTCCTAGTTGGAGCACCCGCGCCGGGCACCAACCAGATCGGAGAGCAGCTACAGGTGTGAGAAAGTTCCGTACTCCTGAGCTTCTTGTTTGGAGTATTAAGTTCTGCCCTCGATACTTGCATTTCGTAGTCAAAGGAGAGGAGTTATCCATACCGCCTGCCCTTTCTTGTCGAGCTGCGGACTGTGTCATCATTTCGTGCGTACTCTGGGATAGTAGTAGAAGTCCGAGCAGCCCTTTTTCTACCTTTTTCACCAATATGAGTTTGCAGCACGTGTTTTGGCCAGACTCTCCGGCGTGACCTGTCAAAAGGCCCACATTTCGAGTGCCAAATATTCGGTATCTACGAAATAGTCGTCGAAACTTCTCAAGATTCTGATTATTTTGAATTTTCAGTGACGACTAAAGAGCACTGCACCTTGTGCCACCGTGTCCACGAACGCTCTTGAACCAATCAACAAACCTACCACGCAGAGTGAAAATCCTTTAGGCGAATTGTGCTTGCAGAGGCTGAAGGAGGGGTTTAACCAGCCGCTAGACCGCATGCTCGATCTTGAGCGCAAAGTGACTGTGCCATTCCTTTTGCCATCCTTATTAACCGGATAACCTCGGAACACTACTCTGAAAGCCCACAACTACGACCTCAACATTCTTAGATCGAAATCCGAGACTTTCAACCTCTGCAGAGGCTCAAAGAAGTTCAACCCGCTGCTCAAACGAACGCTGGACCGCAGAATGTTGAACCTGCAAATTCAAGCGCAGTGAATTAAACTCAAAAGCAGTGAGCTATTATGAAGCAACCTCGTAAACACGTGGAATACACAAGCCTCCCTTAAAGGTTGACCTCAATATTCTGATTTTCGTGCCTGCAGACGATCAACGAAAAGTTCGACCAGCTGCTTGACCGGATGCTAGACCTCGAGCGGAAAGTCACAGCCTCGACGTCGCCCTCGGCGTCCCGGGGCACGACGCCGCCCCCGAAGCAGAGATTCGAGGGGCACCCTTTGACAAACGGTGAGCCGTTTCAATAGAAAAGTTGCTGACTTTTCGAAGGTTCCGTGGTTTTCGCACGGAAGCTCTTCTGTCCTTTTCAATAGCCCTGAGCAGCTATGATCTGAGGAGCACGCTTCGACGACCGGTGAGCCCGTGTTCTTATTTTCGAGCATTATGTTGTAGACTGCACGGAAGCATCTGTGTTTTTAATTGGTAGCTGTACTGAGAAGCAGAGATTCGAGCGGCACGCTTCGACGATCGTTGGGCCCGTGTTCTGACAAGCCCTTAGCTGGCTCTTTAGGTCCACTGCTATTCTGCTTGGGACCACTCGTGTTCTTTCACAGCTGCCCTGACGAAAGTTTGCAGCTTTTCGACCAATATCCGCTTGCCCCACGCTCCGTCTTCAAAGAGATCCTCGACGAACTTCATTGCACAGCCCAACGCGTGACAAATTCCGTGCTTGACCTAGCGTTATCTGCCGGTTATGTCGACTCTAAGCGGGGGATCCCTTTCACAGGCCCCGGGGGAGGTTCCCGGGAGTTGGTGGGCAGTTACCAGAAGAGCCATTTGGGGATGCGGGACGAGACGGAGGCCGGAGACTTGTCGGGGCGAGAGCGCAGGGGCATGGAGGCGGAGGGATCCCTCTCCGACGAGGTAGGGTACTGGCGCATTGTTTTTAATACTCTTTGAGCCACGACAAAGGCTTTCGTTTCGATTGGGGTTGTTGTTTTCGCACCGCTCTAGCCCTTATTTCTGCTGTAGTTCCTTAAAGTGGAGCATTAGTAGCGGCAACCGTGAAGCGCCATGAACGACTTGTTGGTCGCTTCCATAAAGTCACACTCACATTAACTTGGTTACCGTGCGACAATGGAGCAAATGTTTTTTTGCACTCTCATCGCAGGCACATAAGGTCACATGACGGGTCCTAAGATTGACTATGTCGAGCTGCCACTTTCTGCCTGCACAGCAACCAGCGCCACATCAGCATACCTGCTGACGTCAGTGCAATAACTTCGTCAATCCCAAGCTGCCTTTTTCCGACCAGGTGCGCCTGCTCGCGCGTGGCCAGCGCCACATCAGCACGCAGTTGGACGTCCTCAGCGGCGCCGTCCGGGACAATCTGCGCGAGCAGCAGCGGAAAGATTCTGGGACGCAGTACTGGCGAAAAGGGCACCTATTTACGGAGGGTCTGTGGGAACCAGCGACGGGTGTCGCCATAGTGTCCGGGTCGCTCGCAGTTATCGGGGCGGTCTTTTGGGTATGGAAGGTAAGGGGCAGGGGAACAACATAGCTTAGTGTGGGGCGGATTTCACCGCAAGCTGAGTCTTCAACTCGTATGAGTGTTTCCGGGCTTGGTGGCAAGGAAGCCGAACTAGATTTTCAGAATCAGGACATGGGGAGACGGTCACAACGGTCAAAGCGCACTTTGCCAGAAAATGATTCAAGAGGTTCAAAGTCATCTGCTTTCTTTGGAGACTGGTTCATGCGGTTGAGTTCGTGCATCACTTGCGTGCGATATTTATGCATGATGCTTGACATCACTGCAGATTGTGACGCACTTGGTCTTCATTTCTAAAGGAGCTAATGCATCTGTTTGGAGCCTCAACCGGCAAACCATCGTCGAAGTAAGGGCATGTGTGATGCGACTATAACACACATGACGTATTGACCAAGAAGCAAGAGCTATCAAGTATTGATGAAGACTCCGAACAAAGGCGTGACCATGGCCAAGCTTTATTCCCCGCTCCAATGTTCTACTGCCGTTACTAGACGGTTGCTGACGTGAAAGGTGCGGAACAGCAGCTGAAACGCTTGAATGCACTGCATGATGCATGAGCATTCAACGGTCCGCCGGCGGCCCATACATACATGCAACAGGCCGCGTCCGCGAGCCGGCGGGGGTCGCCCGCGCCCGGCCATGCCTATCGAAGCTGCATGAATATACACTGACAGTACGTTAAATATTTGGTTTGGCAGCTCCCTACTGGCTTGGATCTCCTAAGTTCGTAGGCCGGGGGACGGGTAGGGTTGGTTTGGTGGTTAGGGTGGGTAGGGGTGCGGAGCACGTGTAGCATTTGGGTTAGGGTTTTAGTTTTGATGACCGGGGCTTTTGAATCTTAGGAGACAAGCCCCTTTTTGCGAGGCACGGGAGGTGCCAACGTACGTTACGTTTTAAAGTACGGTTAGGTATCGTGCGGTATTCACCGATCATTCCTCCAATCATTTACTCCCGGTCAGTGGTCATCACCGGACGGGAAAGCGCTCAGTGCACGGCGGCCCGGCCGTGCGCAAGCCCAGAAGAGCATGCCAGGCCGGCCGGGTCGTCTGACCTTCCCCGGGGCCGGGTTTCCTGTCGGACTCCAAAGTTCAAACGGCCCGGGGAAGGTTCTTGTCACTTGCGCCTACAGGTGCATTATGTCGTCATCAATGATCAATCAAGCTTGAAGCAATGCTCCTCGCAGCACGGTGCGCAGTGCCACTGCGCACGCGGCCACACATCACCGGTGCCACCGGCTGCGGGGCCTTGCACCCGGGTCCCGGGCCCCGGTCACTCGGCGCAGGCGAATCGGCACCATGCCATGATGCACAACGCACGTTTAGTATTCTCCCGGTTATTGAAGAGCCATCTGACGTGGTACCCGAATCTCCAAAAATCTCTTGCCTGCATAATGCTCCCCTCGTCTGACCCACACGCACAGGCTCATGCACAATGCAGTCTCCTGAGTCCTGACTTTGACATCTGCATGTTAGTAGAGCTGCCGTAGTTGGAAGGTTCTTCAAAGTTCAGCATTTTGATTGTTGGACTTTATATGCAGAGAAGCAGCTGGGTTGGGAAAGGAAGACGGCTTCCCTCAGGTACGGTGGCCTTCTGTCCACGGTTTCTATTTGCCAGTGAGCCTTTCCAAACCGCAGATCTCACTCCTCACAAGCACAATGGCGCCTTTCCCCCCCCGTTTCCTGCTGCTGCTAGTTGCTGCATTGCTGCCAATGTGCCACCTGGCAGAGGCCGGACGCGGGCTCCTCCAAGCGCCGCTCGTGAAGGACGTCTCGGAGTTCTGCTCTGTTCAGCGTAAGCACTTGGCTGCAAGCTCTGCTGCTTCCTTTCTTGGTGCCGTCTGCGCCCCTTCTTCTATGTAAAAGCTTGGGGAGTGAGATGTGTCAATGAGCTGAGAATCAGCAAGACTTCGTTCGGAAGAGGAACCCCCTTCCGAAGCAACACCGGCGCCAGGAGCAGGCGCTTGTTGACTGGTGATACAATGGTGGCTTGCGCATGCCCTGAAGGATCTGCGGACAATGTCACTCAAGTCTCGTTCTAGCTGAGTACAAGGAAAGTCAGTCCAAGAAACAGCTCAGGGTTGGAGGCCGCAAGAGGGCTGTGTTGAGAGCAGGGCATTGTGCGGTTGTGTGACCGCTCCTCAAGAGCCAATGACAAATCTTGGCAGCCCCCATTTCAACTTTGAGGAGATGAAGGAACTTAGCTGGTGCCCGACTTGTTGGGCTGCAGACAGTGTGTCATTTGGGACGAATTGCTCAGCCAAGAGGTTTATGGAGTTGGAATCGGCATGAGGCTGCTGATCGTTCAAGTAGTAAGTAATGCTTTCATGTGCTCAGAAGTTGAGGGCTTGATGCTGCTATATTAATGCTGCAAATAAGCTACATTCTGGCCATTCAGGTAGTGTGGCAAGAAGAGGGGAGACGTGGACAGAAAGAATGTGTCCAAGGTATTTGTGTGCTTCCTGCATGAGAAAGGCAACCCTTTGTCTTACAGTCAAGGCTGACAAGCAGAAATTCAGCCCAAGTGCTAGACATTCTCGGAAGAGAAGGCGGGTGGGCATGATGCCTCGGGTCTTTTGATAGAAGAGACTGATGATCATTTGAGATGACTTGTTTTCATTGGCCAAGTCTAGCTCGTTCGCGGTCTTTCTCTACCAAAAAGAACAATTTCTTGCTTGTCAAAGGTGGCAGCTTTGCCAAATCCATAATTTCCTTCTAGAGGTGCTGGCTCATAATTTCTCAGTGTTGAGTTATGAGTATTCTAAAATCAGGGTCTTTTGCATTCCCAGGAAAGATATCATTATCGTCTTACACACTAGAACAATTTTAGGATGATATTGCCTTCCTTCAGGCTGTCAGATCAAAGATTAGCACCTCTTCTCAGGCCAAACTTTCAGCACCATCTGGGGAACTTGATCTGAGCTTCATCTGCCCTCGCTTCATCAAGCATCAACTATTGCTTTTAAGCCCCAATCATCCTTTGTAAATTGAGACACTGCTTCGATCGGTCAGAACGACTAAGTTGCTAAAAATATAAAAAACAAGTGCTTTGCTAGGGAGGTCCGCATCTCTTACAGCTTCTTCAATCGACCTGTCAGTCTTAGTGTCAACTAATTTAGGCTGATTTCCAGTCTGCAGTAGACTCACTAAGTTACACTACACTTTTACAAACCTAGCAGGTTGCTCAAAAGAAGGTGCAGCATCTAAGGTTTGCTCGTGCTTGCAGGACGGGCCTTCCGCTTTTTCACCCATCTTTTCCCCGACCAATTGGCCCGTGGAGTCCAGATAGACTACTGCCAAAACCTTTACCCCAACTTGGGAACAGTCACAGGTAAGTCACCTGTGACTTTGACTGTGACTCTGAACTGTGTAACTCTTCAAATATCCTAGGATGTGAACGCTTCTGTAAGTCTGGGATACAAAGGTGCCTGCTTGATTTACTGTAAGGCAAACCAGCCCACTTTGTTCTGATGAACCCCACTGTTGCCTTGCAAAGCCAAGACTTACAGCAGGATGACTCAACTCTCTCGTAACATCAGCTCTCTCATTATCTCGAGTCTTGTGAGTTGGTACTCGAGTCTAGTCATTGAACCCATAGCCAGCACCTAAGCAGTCCGTAACCGACCCTATTAACCGCCAAAACCCATGGGTTTGTGCATGCACCACCACCGAGACCGCGCTGCCGGCGGCGTCCGGCAGGTCGTCTTGTCATTAACCAGCCCGTAACCGACCATGTTTAACCGCCAAAATCCCTCGATTTGTGCAAGGCACCACCACCGAGACCTCGCTGCCCGGCGGCGGCCGCTTTGGCTAGTTGCCACTAACCAGCCCGTAACCGACCAATGGTTAACCGGCAAAACCCCTGGGTTTGTGCAGGCACCACCACGGAAACCGCGCTGCCCGGCGGCGGCCGCTTTGTCCAGGTGTCAATCACCGCGACAAACGTGTTCGCGGTCGCTTTCCTTAACGACGCCAATAACAACCGGACGTTGCCGCTGCTGGGTGCTGACGTCAGCGTCGGGGACCAGGATCTTGATCAACTGACCCCAGTAAGAGCTTGACTCTGAGTTCCGTTCGTTGCAGATATTGTTGAGATTGCTTCATTCATGAGTCGAGGACGTAAATCATGTGAGACTACCGATCGGAGAACACCAGTCGGCCGTTTCGTAATAATTGAGGTTTAGATGCCTTTCCAGTCGATCAGGACACCTGCATGGCCGTCGAACGGATTCTGATACTGATTCACGCTGAATCTAGTGAGGTGGCAAACTGGTAGGACCAAACGGACTGCCTGATCATCCTTAATCTTGGCTTTCTTTGATGCGCAGAGAACCTAGAGATTGAATCATAAGCTTGGTCTCGAAAGCGAAAAGAAAGGACTCTTCCACTGTTGCTAAGTTTTTGCAGTACGAAAGCATGGTGAGAAAGAAGATTGCTTCGGAACGAAGGTCACTTTCTTGAGACAGCCGGACCCAAGAATCGTTCAAGAACTTCCTCGTAACCACTTTGATTTCATCGACAAAATTCGGCCTGAAAATTCGGCCTGTCTCAGTCCTCTCACCTTGTAGTGTTTTCTCGCCTGTTAACAAGACGACGGCAGCAGCTCTTGAACGTCAGACAACCAAACCCTCGTTCGACTCTGTCTGCAGGAGCAATTCAACCTGGTGACTGCACGTGGCAGCGCCACGTACAACCCGAGTTTCATTCAGCTTGACGTGCCAGTTGGTGAGCGCCTAGCATTCACTCCCCGTCTCGTCGACCAACGGTCTAAGTTTTATCAAACTCCACGAAAGTGACCTTAAGCTCCGATGATAAGAAGGTACACGCACTGGGACGGGGACGGGTTTGGTTTGCGGACTAGATTTTGAAGATCAACTTTGTTTTGGCTGCATCGCCCTTGCGGGCCATCAACATAGATCAAGAAGCGATTCCGCGAAGTAGTCATGGCAAAGTAAAGCCAGACTCTCACATACATTCTGCGGCTCTCAGATCCTTCCGTCTTGTTGCCATAGCTGTTTACGACGCTAATATAAATCCAAACGTGGTGGCCGGCCGCCTTTTTTGCTGGATCGCTCGATTGTTCGAGGAGACTACGCTTTCGTCGTGCCGAGCGCAGGCTCAAGTCAGGCCTTCCCGTCAAGGATCCGCTCGGCTTTTGAACGTAAGGTCTGTTGATTGTTGACGTCAGCAGGAAGCAGAACGTACCTCTGCTTAATGCTGACGAAAGATACGTCAAACTGCAGGCTCGCCGTTTCCG